GAGCCTTCATCCCGGCACCACGCGCATCTGTGCCGCGCCGACCGCTGACCCCATGTCCGCTGCCTGTGTCTGTGGGGAGCACGTCTTTATCTAGAGCCCAGGATTTCAGATGTGTATTTGGACATGAGTTTAGAGACGTCGACCCCGTGCAGTTTCAGAAGTTATGATGGAGTGGCATGGGTGGCCCCTTTAGACAGCTGGACTTCGTTAGGTGCTGTTGCACGTGAAGTTGTCGGGCTGTCATCAACCAACCAATGTTTTCCTTAGTAAGTGCTGTTAGGATCCTTTCCTTTTTTTGTTTTCTTTTGAACTGCAAAATCGGCACTGGGGCATTGTGAGCTTGTCAGGCAGTCAATCTTCTAAAACATATTTTCACCCTTAAAAACAGTGCTTGCTTGTTTATCTTTTTAATTGGGAATCTTCTCATGGGGAATTGCATTGTAAACTTCTGGATGTGAAACTTGCTAAAGAAAAGTAAAACTAAAGATTATGGTTTAAATAGTTCCAGTGGAAGACAAGTTTCTCAAAATAGGTGTTTAAAGAAGAGGCAGATAAATTGCTTATTTTAAAGTAATTTAGTTTTTAATAATTAAAGATGTAGTGAATTGCTGAGGATCAGCAATCAGTGAGTCGAAAGGAAAACTAGAGTTAAAATTCAAGTGTTCTTGGCTCCCAGCCTACCAATGAGTCCACTAAAGTAAACGATATCTCAGCAGTCCATGGATTTCTTGTTCAAGCAGGTAATATTCAGTAGGAATAATATGAAAGCACAAAATTAAATTAATAGTTTTTATTGAAATGATGGAGGACTCTGTAGTTTTTCTGCAACAAGTTGGCTTTTCAGCTGCCAGCTCTTACGTCAGTCTTCACTGATACCATTGTCTGCCACATCTGGAAAACTTAACTTATGCAGACTTTTTTTTTTTTTTTTATTAAGAAAAAGAGGTAAGTTGGTTAGCCTTAGAGAAAAATGAAGTATGGTAATAAGTACTTTTAGGAAATATATTCTGTTTCTCTTCAGTTGCTATTTCTTCATTCACTGATTGTCATTCATGGGATTATTTGTGCAACTTTTGAGTTAAGGAAAATCTAGAACACTGTGCTTAATTTACATAGTTTAAAAAAAGTCCAAATAAGTAAGAAAGGAAAAAGCACTTAATTACTTAATACTGTATCAGTGTGCTTTCCAATGCTGTATTAATTCAGTCAAGTCCTGTCTCAGAAACACTGAATTAGACTATGACATTTTTTGACTCGGGCTATGTAAAACTCAGAGGATCCAAAAAAAAACCTATTGTCAGCTGTGCTGCCACTGTAGAAAATAAGAAAAAAATGCTTTTAAATCATTAAATTAATGTATATAGTTCAATTTCCCATTGTTTATAGGATTTGTGACAATTGTTCCATTTCATTCTTAGCTCATCACAAAACACTAATGAAATGTGAGACCGCAGTCTGGTTGAAGAGATGCTAGTGGTGTTCAGACACTGAAATAAATCAGAGGAAATCCACCGATTGCAGATATAATGTATTGTTTTGGTTACTTGTTGCTGCCTACATTCCTGATATTCTTGAATGGATTTTGCTTATCTTTTCTGCTTTAAAAAGGTTTTCTCTGTATCGAGAGTATACAACAGTATGTTGTTATTTTTTCCTTCACTAAAAATTAAGTCATCACCTTACCAGCCATTTCCTAATCTGATGGGGTCCAGTTACACTGAAGGGATTTTGCCTTCCTCTTTTTTTTGGAGGAGGTGTGCTTTGAGGGATATAGTCTGTAAGCTCTAGCAAGCTGTTAGTGATGTAAAAAGTTGGATTCTAATGGATTATATAGATCAGGAGCAATTTAAAAACATTCAGTGCCCTTCAGCTGTCGGTGTGAAGCCTGTTACTATTCTGCGAGGAAATCGCAATCTGCAGCAGACTGTCCTGTAGCTCTTTTAAAGTGGCTTGTACCTGGCTCTGGCAGACTTTCAGGGTCTGATTCCTGAGCAGCCTTCTGACTGCAGCAGCTAACTTAAACCATCAGCTGTAACAGACAATGTGCCGTTTATCTGCGGTCATGCAGACTCCTGTATTTCTTGCATGCATTAGAAGCCTTAGTGGTTTTTGTAATTTGTGCTTATGGAACCACTAGAGACCTCTCGTTTCAGAAGAGTTTAAGCAGAGAAGGGCAAGGTTTCAGTAGACAGCTAGATCCTAAAGGGAAGCGAAGTCCTTGAAATGTTTGTTCCATCTGGGCATTGGCATCAACTTTTTTCTTGGTCAGATATCCCCATTGCTCTCGGCAGGTTGGCAGAATTAGCTAGCTGACACAAAGTACTGTTCCCTGTCCTCTCTCCAAGTTGGAGCCGGAGCACACTGGCAAGGTGGTGTGGGAAAGCTGTTCGCAGAGACAGCTATTTTCAGAAGTGTTAACCTCACCTCCGTGGAAAACAGAAGAAACCAAAGCGCAAACTTCACTAAATTTCCAGCGCGGAAGTTGTTATCAGTTTGATCATCGATGACTGCATATGTTTTTACTGTTGTTGACAATTTGTACTACCCACCTGATCAGGTCTTACACACAAAAGAAAACTGAAAAATGGGAGCACTCTTTAGGAATAGTGCACAGCCCATATCTGCAGTGCTTGCAAGAGCAAAGGAAGTAAAAAGGGAGGATGCTCCCACTTCACTAGCACTAAGTATTTGAAGGCTTTCCTGTTGAAATAGAGAATCTGTATTCTGCATATAGCTGGGAGAGTCCATGCCAGGATCTGGGTAGGCAGAAAGATACAGAAACCACCTTTGCCCTCCTTCTCTAGCAGTGCTGGCTCAAACAAACATATACGATGCAGGAGGTTTGTGGTAGCATCATTCTGCATACAGATCTTACACTGCTGTGAATGAGCTCGTGTACTACTCCAGGGTCAGAGGATCCCCATGGAGTGTACTATAAAATGCAGGCTCTATGTCACTGTTCACATCAGTGTTTCAGAATCCTTTCAGAATTTTGCTCGGTAGCCATTCTGCACATGTCCTCTGCAACTTCTATGAAATACTTGACTGCATAGGGCTGGTATTAACAGGCATCCCAAAATGTAATCAAACACAGTATTTGTGCTGATTTTTATCAATTGCTTCTGCACCAATTACTAGAATGAGGGCAAAGGGGATTAGAACAGCATCGGTACAGTTAATTGTGCCTCAGAGCAGGGGATCTGAAGCTCTTAGCTCTGTTTTATATCAATGTGTGGGTAAGACCATCAAAGGCATAGGACAGAGATCAGAGCAAGTAACAGGTTTGGTGTTTTCTTGGGCTGCATCTTAGTATTGAGCACCATTCACCTAAAAAAGGGACCAGGTGCTGGGGACAGCTGCTGCACAGAACAGGATTCTGCTCACTGTAAAACTCCCTTACTTCGAGCCACTTCAGGGTTTGTTTTACAGTTTAATTCTTATGTATTTTAAAAATGGAAGAAATCAGATATAAAAGATGTTAACACAAAACCCCGTTATGCTATCAGTATGACAAATAACATTATTTTAATGAGAAGGCATTTTTAGAAGGATAACCTTTTTTTGCATCAGCATAAAACATTTCTTCTACAATTATGCTGGGTTTTTATCAGGTTAAACAGTCTCCACTGGATGTTCATGTACTATACAGGATGCATTCCTGATTTTCCTTTTCTTGTTTTTAGACACTGAAAAAAAAGAGAACTTGTGTAGTATAAATTGTCAAAGATTTAGGCTAAGATATCCTGTTATCTGTTTGTTTCTCATTATTTAAAAGTATTGTGGCTTTTATTTTGTTTTACTAGGGGAAGGAGGCATTATATGATACTTATGAAAAAAGAAAATGAAATTTATCCACAAAACCGTAGGCTTAAGAGAGGAATTTATTTGTCTGCTTAGGCAATGTTAGGCTTTTTAAAAAACTAATTTCCTTTTGGGTAATTTGTTTTGTGAAAAAAGTTTGCTAGTAATTCAGTTCATGCTAATACCTTCACCTTAAAAAAACCCCCAGCAAACAAAACCAAGAAAAAAGCCCCAACAATGACTCATTTTGACAAATGATATGAGGTAATGTGTGTTTGAAACACCAGTTATTTGTGTATCATGCATGAAACATTCCCATTTTTCTTTTTTATTTGGAGTCCTGCTGAAAAATAACATTTAATCTGTCCTCATATTTCTTTTTTATCATGATGCTTTTGCCCAATATATGCTGTTTTGTATTCTGGAACAAGAATGTCTTGTGGGCAAATTTGCTAAGTGTCTGCCATCAGTTTCTGCTGGTGCAGAGCCTCCTGAGGCAGTAATTGCACTGGTGTGGGGGAACTTGCAGTTGTGGGGTTGCTCAGTGTTTTCTAGAATGAAGCTGCAAGTGATTGCATAACTGAATGCACAGAAAAACATACTTTGCGTGGGTGGAAGGAGATAAGAGTATTTTCAGTGATTAATTTGCTTGATGATTGGCCTGTCACTTTTGCTGCTCCTGTGCAACCCTGGCAGAAGTTTAAGTCACTTTTCTGTCATTGGACAGGGTAAAGGAGGAGAGGAGGTGATACTTCTGTCTCAGGTGGAGCTTCAGCTGCATTTAGCAAGGCAGCTGGTGGCTGGCACAGCACACACTTGACCCTTCAGGGAATCAGGTCCATAAAGAAAATCTTCCTGCACTGACTGTCAAGAAGTCAAATACACTGTGTTGCTCTCTCTCTAGCTGTTCCTCACTTCAAAATAGGCGTCACGGTCCTGAAAGTCACTGTGCATCAGCATGTGTTCAACATGGGTTCTTTTAAATGTCATAAATTGTGTTACGGTACAGCATCAGATATGTCTGTTAAATGCAAAATATACCATGTTTTGAGAGTATAGTGCTTTTACAGGGTCGTTCTGTTGATATTAACTCAGTTCTCCAACATCAGCAATGAGGATGACGTAGCGTAGATGAGCTGCTGATGCTTTCAGCACTGGGTTGATTAGATCAGCTTTGAGCAGGGTTAGATAGCACAGCTATGAAAGTGGCAACAGCCAAACATCCTTCAAAAGAAGAGGGCTCCTGGAGGCCTGGCCGTGGCAACTGGGTGGAAAGCATTGTTGACTTTTGTCAATGGAAGCAGGAAGCTAATGACTCTGTTCCTTGGGTCGAATGGCACACAATGCAGTATGTCTTCTGCAAAGTGATGTAAATATCAATGGAAAGCTAATCCATTCATTTCAGGTCCCAAGAAAAGGGAATCTTAAAACATGCAAACTTAGGTTTCGGACATGGTTCAGTCTGTGGTGGGTTGACCCTGGCTGGGCACCAGGTGCCCACCAAAGCTGCTCTGTCACTCCCCCTCCTCAGCTGGACAGGGGGGAGAAAACATAACAAAAGGCTCATGGGTAAAGATAAGGACAGTTTAATAAAGTGAAGGCAAAGTTTGCATGCGAAAGCAAAGAAAAACAAATGACGTTATTCTCTACTTCCCATCAGCAGGCGATGTCTAGCCACATCCCAGGAAGCAGGGCTTCAGTATGTGTAGTGGTTGCTCCAGAAGACAAAAATGTCCCCCTTCCGTCTCCCTTAACTTAGCTTTTATATCTGAGCTGACGTCATATGGTATGGAATATCTGTTTGGTTAGTTTAGGTCAGCTGTCCTGGCTATGTCCCCTCCCAAGATCTTGCCCAGCCCCAGCCTGCTGTTGAGAGGGGCAAAAATGTTGGAGAGACAGCCTTGATTCTGTGCCAGCACTGCTCAGCAGTAGCCAAAACACTGGTGTGTTATCGACACCTTTCCAGCTACCAATGCAGAGCACAACACTAGGAGGGCTGCTATGGGGAGAATGAGCTCCATCTCAACCAGACCCAATACAGATCACAGTCAGGCGCAGTCACGCTGTGCTTGTAGTGCAGATCTGATGCATTACATAATGTTACTTAATGTATGGATGCTGTCCTGATGGCTACTGGCTCATTTGGGATGTCTCTATGCTAAGTATAAGCCTTTGTGAACCTGGTGTGAATACACTGTTAGGGAACACCTCAACTACAGCTGAAAAATACTAGCCCTGTGATAGTATTGACGTCACTGAAACAGGAGATTAGGCCATTTTTGTATGCCCAGCTGCTGGCTGCTACTTGGCTGACAGGTATGGAGCTTTGAGAACCACTGCGTGTGTATTTTTTATAATTCCTGGTAAAGATGCACTAATGTGAACAGCCCAGATGTACAGCTCTTCTTTGAAACTTTGGCCGTGGGACACGGTGATTTATCTTTTGATTCCAGCCAGTGTGTGTCACAGGAGAAGAGTCAGAGATCACTCAGACAGATCTGATCTAGTAGTTATTTTATTGAGTTCTAATCAGGAATTTTAGGCACGTAAAATATTTAATAAGTACAGATGGATTGGCGGTCAATACTCTACTATTGACTACACTTCAAGTTAGTATGGGGTACAAAGATTACCACGTAAGCTTACTATACGTATCTTAAATGTTACATGCATGCAAAAAATGTCACTTACCAACCCATCGATGTCTGGTGTTAGGTAAGGGATCTCTCAGCCTTGAGGGGTAACCTTGAGAAGCATCCCTACTCAAGGGGACATCAATGCTGTGCAGCCACCTGCTATGGAGGGAGAGCTCAATGGACCCTGATGGCTGCAGATATTTATAGTGTAAAGCTGTTGATTTGTAGTCGGATCTTCTGCTGTTAATGCAGTTTCAGACGCTTATCAGCCCAGTCTCCAGCCAAACCTGTTTTTTGGGTTTGGTGCTGAGTTCTCACTGATAGCCTCACACAATAGGATTAACTTCGGTTAGGCGTACTGGCTGAGCATCTGCTTGGACCAAAGTTCAGTTAGTTCAAACAGGAGGAATACATCTGTCACAGTGTGTCACGGAGATCTGCCCCAGGTGAGGCAAGGCTCCATAGCATAAGTTAGAAAAGGATCCTTTTGAATATTTTCCTGGGTTTGCCAGTGCACTGGGACAGCGCTGGTGCTGCTTTTGCTTGGGTTCTTCTCTACGTGATTTGACAGAAGTGTGCAAGTGCATGTATACCCAGTTACCTAACAGTTACAATTTTTTATTAAAATGTACAGTTAAAGTAAGAGTGCATGGAGTGAGGAGCAGGTGTATGGAGAGATCCTAATTATGAAATTAAAGTTGGACATTGTATCACTTTTGAGCACTGGCCTGCTGCCTGCAAAACTTTAATCAACTCCATCTTAATAAACAAACTAGAAAAGCTCAAATATTTAAAATATGATATCTGGAAAAGGCCTGTGAGGAAAAAAAAACCCCAACCTAATTAAAAAAGGCTGATTTTCTCTACAAGCATCCAAACTGTCTGTTGGGCATGGGGATTTAATCATGGCTTTAAATAATAAACAAACCTTTTCCAAATCTCCATACCTATGTGATTCTTGCTTTTTCTGATTTGGTGTTTTTATGCACTATATATTGATTTTGATGAGCTGTAGCATGCTGGATTAATCTTACTTGTATTTTTAATACAGTATGGTGATTGCCTCCCAACTGGAACCAACATATGCCAGGACAGTTTACCCATGTTTTGATGAACCTGCCATGAAGGCCACATTTAATATCAGAATTGTCCATGACCCAAGCTATGTGGCTCTTTCCAACATGCCTGCTATTGGTAGGTAAACAGCAAGTAGACTTAAGGTTTTTTTTTCCCCCTGAATTACTTTTAAAAAGGCTGTAATTTATCTAAACAGACTGTATCATCCAATACAGCAGTCCATGTACTAATGCCTTGAAAATGCACAAAAAATCTGTGTGTGTGAACTTAAAAATTTGGAGACAGTTCTGATGGCAATAATTCCACAGTTTTGTCAGTTGCTATCTCCTGTGGGTGCTGGACTTGTGGTTGCGCAGGGTTTGATTCCTAACATTTACTGCTTAGTCAGCGTGTCTGTCTTACTACGTGACATCTGCTTAAAACAAAATGGCAGTCCCAGTACGCAAAGCCTGTAATTGTGGTATTAAGGGATTCCCTTCATTCTAAGTAGATTTTAAGACATATTTACAACATATGAAAAATTGTTTTACCAGACAGAGACACTATAGCCTCCTGTGTATGTGCAGAATAAGAACTAGAGGACTGTAAGGCTCTAGAGATACTCCTCCCGTCCCTTGCTGGGATCTTGCGTGGGATGCAGTTGGGGTATGAAATTCCAAACAAATTCCATAAATTAGTATTCCTACAGAAATCTGTTGGATTACTTGCCTCTTTCTTAATGGCTTTTTTCTGCAGTTCAGTGCCATGAATCTTTATTTTTCACCTAAATAATTTTCAGCCAGTAAAAGGAAGTTTTATGAGATTTGCAGGGAAGCTAAGTAACTTAGGAATTATAATAGATTGGATCTCTGTGTGAATCACTTGAAGCATTTTCCTCCCCTGAGAATCTTGTCTACGTCCCCCGTATTTAGAAGGAAAATATCTGATGAAGTATTTCATAATTCTCGGGCACACGTGACCTATATTTGAGTCATAATAGATCATACATTTTAGAGAGATGCAACATGGGATAAATTGTCCACAGTTTGCCCATATCCTGAAACTGATGCAGTTTGATATGGTTCCAGGACTTCAGTTAGGAAGCTCAAGAGTGGATTTTTGGTGTTTGCATGGAAGGTCATGACTCAGATACGTGGCAGTAGCAACGAGTCTGGCTGCTTGCCTTCTACCAGAAATATATGAAGTTAGTGCAGAAATACAGCATATTGAAGAGAGGTGTAAAAAAACATGCAGAAAACACAAAATTCCTTGTTTGTTATGGAAGAGCAATGGTTTGAATATGTCTTTGATATTTTTTTCTAGATGTATCTGAAATGAAGGATGAAAATGGAAGCCTGTGGGCTGTTACCACATTTAATACTTCGCTGAAAATGTCAACTTATTTGACTGCTTTTGTGATTTGTGATTTTGATTATGTCACCAGAACTGAGCGGGGAAACGAGGTAAATAGGAGGCTGCATAACACATTATAGCAGTTTACAACAGAAGTTAGCTCTGTGGTGCATTGTGCTTCAGAAGATATCACAGACATTAACTGTGCTTTCCATTCCAAACCTATTTGCTTATGTGGCAAAACTACTAACATTTATCCTGCAGATGTTTCTGTGGAAAGCTTTCCTTTAGGACAATTAGTTTATTGTCCTGTCCTGTGTCATACAAGTTCACAAGTAGGTATGGGCTCTGTATCTTAAAACTTTAGGAGCAGCTACACTGCAGAAAGTACTGGTCATAATTCAGGGTCTTCTTATCTTAGCAGTCTTAGTTGGAATAAATAGCCATTTCCGCTGCTGTGACAAACCCACTGAAGTTCAGTGCCTTGTTCTTCAAGGCCCTTTGGGGAGCAGCATCATGACATCAGTAGGACCAATACTGTACTCCAAGCATTCTGAATACTAGTATTTTAACCTTTTATTCTGCATGGACATATTTTTTTAGCCTCCAAAAGTGACTATTTTGTGTTTGAAGCTTATTCATCAGTGAGTATTTAGTTTTTCTCTTACACTACAATGGCCAAAGGGAAGCTGTAAAAAATATACTCCAGTGGCGCCAGTTGTTCCACTTTCCTTCTTTTGCTGAAAGTCAACAGGGAAAAGATGTATCAAGTTGTTCCAAAATGAATAGTAGTCTGAAGCATAAAGCTATTCAGGGTAGCATATACTTGCTCTCCTTAATAAATGAGAGCACATTGTTAGCTTCATGGTTACTTCACTGTCATCCTCCTGGGGAAAGGTGGGACAGGGTGGGAGGACAGTGCAGAGGTGACCTAGGAAGCACAATATTAGCTCCTTTTCAAAGTGAAGATTGGATTTGGTATGTCATTATCTGTATAGAACATGTTGGATGCTTACAGCTCTGACTGTGTTGTCTTTTCCTTGGGCTGATGTGTACTGACAGGAGTCAGCAAAGCAAAGCATTCAAATGAGCGTTATTCAGAGGGAAGAGGCACCACCTGTGTTCTGTGAGATAGAGGGGAGAGGGTATTTTGCCCCTTGGTTTTAGACAGAGGTGCTCAATTTACACCTCCACAGTCTTTGTGTGAGCATGTTAGAATAGAATAGAATGATTAAGTTTGGAAAAGACCTCTAAGATCATCAAGTCTAACCGTCAGCCCACCACCATGTTCATTGTGTCTGTTTTGTCATTTCTGGTAAGTAATTTACAACCTGAAACACAGGTATTATAACTCAAAGCTTATACTAGGATTAGGATTTTAAGTCTGCGCATTGTGTTTAGGGTTTGCAAAATGAAGTGATCTGGTCTTTGAATTTCCTCTGAAGACTTGGCTGAAAAGAGGGGCTCAGAGGCTGAGGATACTCTGTTGATTGAATATGCTTTATTGTTTCCCTTTTAAATTAAATCCTGATGCTTCCCAACTGTGCTCTTGGGGTTTGGCTGTGCAACTGCTTGTGAGACCAAATGTATTGCATTTAGATGCAAGAAATGCGGGAGTTCTGAGCTGCTAGGCACCTGGAGGGGTCTCACATCCAGAGATACATGATGGAGACAGAAACCTTTTCTCAGTCTACTCCATCACCTTGGACAAGCAGCTGCCCTTTTCAGTACTGTGTCAAAGCAAATGGGCACGTCAGTGGGAAGCTTTGCTTGCTGCTTCTGTCTCCGTTACTCGGAAGTACAGATGTCATCTGCTGAGATGTCATCTGCTTTCTCCAGCAGCAGTGAGAGGCCAGTGGTCTGTTTCAGTCTGTGAGAAAGTTCAAGAGGAGAGATGTGTATGTTTGAACAGCAAATGCTCTCTGAACATCCATTTCTCTCTTTTCAGAGAATGAGTGGTGGACTGAAGGAAAGTTTGTCACCCGGACTCACTGGCTGGAATACATTGGCTTAAGATGTGTGATTCTAAATAGTTTTACAGCATTTCTCATTTAATAAAAGAAAAACCAGGAGTCCGTTTGTTCCAGCAATGTGTAGTTGGATTCAAATCTTGGCCCTTTTGGGGCCTCTCCTAGATTTTAACAGGGTTAGGCTCTGTGCCACATTTTGTTAGGTCCAGCAAAACTTGAGTTGGGATTTTTTTCATTAAAAGCTTCATTGCATGGTCTAGTGTGGATGGACAGCATTTTCAAACAATGATTCACAGAAGAGAAGCAAAGAAAATGAAAATATGAGGGTTGTCTAAAGTAACACTGCCTCGTTTTATTGCAGATACGTATTTGGGCTCGGAAGGAGGCAGTTAAAAATGGGTACGTTGACTATGCTTTAAATATCACAGGCCCGGTATTTTCATTTCTGGAAGACTTACTTAATGTCAGCTACCCTCTGCCAAAGACAGGTGAGATTACTTATTTTCTTAAATGGACCAGAATTGGCTGCTGATGGTGTAACATTCACAGAAGCAATGGGTTCTTTTACAGTATTCTCTTTTTACAGCTTACCACATTCATGAAGTAAAACCCTTAAGCTTTAGCTTACTGAATTCTCCTTTCTGTATTTTGGCTCTTATTAACCCATAATTCAGCACTCTTAGCTTTAATCCACTCTTTCTTTTAAAGCATCATTTCCTAATAAAGGGGCAGATGGGACTACAAAGTGGATAGAAAGGAGTTGTTAAGTCACGTGGCTATTTCTGGGATGCACAGACCATGCCAGTCAAGGATGTTTTAGTCCCTACGTCTTCCTAGTAAATCCACGCTTGCTGTAACCCATGTCTCCCCAAAGCATTCCTTGCTTTCTTCAATATGCCCCTGTCTTACCTGTGAGTTGGCTGTATGTTCCTGCACATTCCTCCCCAGAAAAAAGACTCCTGCAGGAAAACATTGTTTCTACTTAAAATGGACATCAGGTAAGTCACTTAAGTCAAGTTTCAGTCAAGAAAAAAGGGTGCCATCACGTAGTTTCACTGTACAGTTTGTCCACTACTCGTACTTGGATTCCCAAGACCTTCAGCATGAATATTATCGGGAAACATGGTCTTTTGAACAAATTTGTACAATAGTGAGGACACAGAAGGCAGTTCTTATTTCAAATGAGTTTTGGACCTGCCCATGATCTTAGCAGATTGCAGGACTGTGGGGGAAGAATTTCCCTCCTTTCTTGACTAGGTAATTTGTTGATTTGTCAAATCTGTATTTTGGCACTTGAAAGAAATAAATTTTCATCTTTGTAAAGCTATTATCTCCCAGTGTATTTAGAATAACTTGCAGAATTACTCACTACACTTCTTATGGAAAATGTAACATATGCAGTCTTCACTCTTTACATTTTGTTATCTTTAGTAATCATACCAGCTACTCAAGGGCTGTAGACAATTCTGTTTCATGGTTGTGTTCTTCTGTTTAGCGTCAGTGTCAATACGCTAATTCATTAGTATAAAAATATTACAAAATTGAAGTAGAAGAACAGTATTGCAGGCTTCCTCTTAAGTAAGATTTCAGTTTCGCAGAATGCTGTAATACCATTAGAATCCCCACTGTAATGTCATGCAATACCAACTGCATTTCCCACTTTCTTTGAAGTTTTGCTTACAAATCAATGGGATTAGATCAACCAAGAATAGCTCCTTGTAAATGCTAGACATTTCTATTGCAAACTCAAAATGTGAAATTAAGAATAAACACATTTAAAATCAGGGATGTTTAAGGGTTTGTCTTCACCTGATCTTGATGCAGTTATAAGTGAGCTCTCTTGCCCCAGGCTGGCTAGATGACGGCTGCCTCACTGAAAAGTGAAATAGCTTTGCTGTAAGGCTGAGCTGATAAGCCCTGCTGAGATGCAATCTAGCTTTTCTTGGGTTCAGCACCAGGCTTACATGAACTGCCTAGCTTTCGGACTGAAACTGGCTCATGGTCAGCTGGTTTGGAGTACAAGCTTGTGTCTGCTTCCAAAATGTTCTGTGTATCTTTTCCAAATTTTGCTCTTTGCTTCTGAGTTTAAACACTATATCTTTCTTTGAGATCCTTGATGTTTCTCTCTCACATTTGAACTGGAAAACTGCTCCCTGTGCATGAGGCAGAAGGGGAGGACATAGGTAACAGCCATGCTGTGGAAGCAAAGAGATGATGTTTCTAAGGCACCTTTCAACTAAGAGTGGAAAGGATCCCTCTACTCACAGAGCTGAAAGAGCAAGATTTTTTTTTTATCAGTTGCTAGGCTGAAGAAAGATGTAAGTATGATCTTTTCCAAACACAGGAGAAACTCATCCAGAGAAAGATTTCTGAGAGCCAGAAGTGAATATGTTCTCTCCTAGCATTGGTAGAATACAGCCTTCATTTTTGTTCAAAACACTTGTGTGTACAAGATACAGTGCAGATCTGGGCTTCGTGGGAATTTATTCTGGGACTCCCTGAAGGAGTGGCAGTTATAGATGGAAAGTATGACAAGAAGAAATTTCACAGACCATTTGCAAGAGTGTTGCCATAATACTGCAAAGAACCACTAAAATGTAGTATCCTTTAATTGTACACTGAGACAGTGTGAGCATTAAAATCGTGGGAGCATTTTACTTCCAAATATTTTAAAGACACCTTTTTTTTTTTTCTCTGTTTGAATCAATTTAGATCTGGTTGCACTGCCTGATTTTGGAGCAGGTGCTATGGAAAACTGGGGACTAATGACTTTCCAAGAATCATCATTGATGTTCCTCCCAAGTGATAAATTCACAAGCAGAAAGGCAACGATTGCCATAATTGTGTCACATGAGCTAGGACACCAGGCATGTGGTAAAAAATTCTGTACATTTTTTTGCCTATGAGGTTGTTTCCTTCCGGTTGCTGGTGATGCAGTCACTGATTAGTAGAAGAAAAATCATGATTTGACAGTAGGGGGTGTGAGCACTAGAGTACTGAAAGACTATTTGATCATATGTTCCGCTGATAAATCAGTATTAAAAGCAGATTCTGTCATATCACAGACTGCATACTGACTGCACAGGACTCATTGATACAAAATTGTTAAAGGGCTACTTATTCTTTTTCTTACGCAGTACCTGAATGCCATACTAGAAAATACTGTAGGGATGTAGGAATGACACAGTGCTCTCTATATACAGTATACTTAGTGCTTCGGTGAGAGGATTAATGGACTTGATAAGTATTCTTTTGTAGTGGCAGTGCATGTACATATTGCAAAAGGTATTTGTTTTTCTGTAAGAAACAGCCTATGGTATGATAGAACAAAATTAACATGAACACATTTTACACCGTAGCTGGACCTTGGTCCAGTTTTTGTAGAGATTTTCAAAATTTTTCTTACTTGGTTTGGAGTGATAATGCAGTTTCACTTTTTTATTGACTGTTTAATTTACTGTTGTCTGCCACAGCAACAACAGTTTGCACTTAGTCAACAAAGTTAGTGAAAGAGTTTAACTTGGCTAGTGCACTTGTATGCCCTTCTGACAAGGTCTGTAACTTACCGGACCTTCAGATGAGCAGAGTGTTTTTATTGCAGGCCAATGAAACAATAGTCAGTACTTAATTAAAATCTATTTTAAAACAAAGCAGTAGTTCAAGTTTTTAAGAACTAATGAATAAAATACAAATCCACAAGTGATCAGTTTTTTGTTAAATATGAGCTGCCAAATATAAGTATGTAAAAGCTGTTGTGGAAGTTTTACTGCTGGCCAAGGTAGGGATTTTGCTGATTTTGGAAATGGTTATTTCCCCAGTTCTGTTTATCATTCCCCTGACAATTTCCTTCTGTTAAGAACATGGAAAAATGTTTTTGTAATTGTTTGATAAATGCCCTACTTTTAATCATAGCCTCATATGATCTTTCAGATATTTAAATTTTATTGTGAAGTGTTTAAAATTACATACAGTAAAAGAATGACATAAAGCACTGACATCCATACTCATGGTATGACATTGTGGGTGAAACAATTAAAAAATAACTGCCCTGAACCTCTGACTTTTTCCAAGGTGCATCTTTTTCTACTGTATTTTGACTTTCTGAAGGAATATCCAGCATCTTATTCAGTTGATGTGTACACATTAAAGTTACTTCAGCATAGGTATGTGTGTTTAACCTGTAAAAATGAAAACAGCAGTCCAAAGAGATGTTGAGACATTTTTTCTTTCTATTTCAGTGGTTTGGAAATCTGGTTACAATGAACTGGTGGAATGATCTGTGGCTTAATGAGGGACTGGCATCTTACTTTGAGTACCTGGGAGCTACCTTTGTTGAACCTAATATTTCACTGGTAAGTAGTAACGCTTACTGAAGTAAGCTAAAGTAGCAAAGTTCCAGCATGTACAAAGAAGAGGAGGGTGCAGGAGATGGGATTTAATTAAGCCGTGGTGTTTTAGGGTGGTTTTGAGGATTCCCGAGAAAGTAAACACACATACACTGACCACAAGGGAAAAAGCAAGGGTTTTATTAACTACAGTCATGCATTACACTAAGGGTATCTTACAAAGCAAAAAAAAGCAGTTAACATACCGACCCAAGGACTGTGAAGATGAACCATCTGTACATTCTGTACATTCTTGTGCTGCGAGCTCAGCCCAGCAGTCGGTAGGTGCCAGCTTTACGTGGGCGTCCCCATGAAGGCAACAGTGACCTTGCCGTACACTGGCCCACTGCTCTTCGGAAAACTCCGGTATTTATACATTTGCGGAGGAGCGGGTGTCGACACTTGTGACCAGTGAGTGCTGAAACACGTCTCAATTGCAACATAGGAAGCCTATGGCACATGTGCCCACTGGTCAGGCGCGCTGCATGTGCCATAGCCATCCTGTCTATTGGTTCATGGGCTTTGTACACGTGGCATATTACCATAATCCATCAGTCACGTCCACTATGCTCTAGCCAGTCACAGGATTTTTACAAGGTAAGCAAAATTATGTGTTATCCCTTGTATTCCTCCATTGCTGCATGTCCTCCCCTCAACTTTCTTACTCCTGTGGTCAGCATTTCAAGCAATAGTCAAAATAGTCCCTGTGCTGATTGCGCTTTTCTCAGTTATGTACTTCTTACCCAGTGTTCATCCAAGGACGAAAATTCCATCTTTTAACCCTTCCGTACACACATGGTATTAGCAATTTAACTCCCCGGGGAAAGCCCAGCAGGTCTTGATTCTTCCCTGGAGGGTCTCCATCTGCTGGCGGCTGTGATCATACCTAGCTCTTCTACAGCTGGTGCAGAGGATGGGTGGACAGCTCTGATTCTGCAGTGACAAGGAGTTGGTGTTTTGCCCTAGATCTGTCATGTAGCAAACCCAGCCTGCTCTCCTTGGTCCTGTAGCTGATGGTTTGTCTCCCTGCCTGTCCAAGCTCTTTTCCAAGCATCGCATAGCTCACGTATCTTTACCAGGTAGTGACTAAGATGTGCCATTTTGAGTCTCTTTCTTTACCCCGCTGGGTCTATTGATGTCTGGTTGTAGGTAAGACAAATATAATGCACATAGCTAATCCGACAGCAGAGTAAAACTCCCTCCCGTTCCGCACAAATGGGAATAAGCGTAAATCCCATAGCATATTAGAAAACTCCATTGATTGTTAAACTCTGAGACAGGATGGGTGCTGCTAACTGTAGCCATGAGATGAGATGTCCTCACCTGTGCAATCACAAATGTCTGTGCACAGTGCCCTCAGCTTCTGAAGGAAGGAGAAGCCTTTAGTTTGGACAGGCCCAAGACTGCGGTCAATCCAGTTTGCTTTTTATTTGGCTCAGATGAAATACTGTTTGTCACTTTCCTTTTCTAATTCACCAAAGTCATTAATTACATGCTTAATTGGAAACTAATACAGGCATGTCAAACAAATTCTGTCAGAAGGATTTTTAGGTCGTGGGATATGCTAACCTTCTGGTTTGAACTTCAACAACAGCTCACTTTAATCTCTGTAATGCAGTATTTTAATATCATTGAAAAGTGTAAAGGCCACCAAATTTCAAATTGGAAATAAATCCTTGTTTTAAATTTTAATCTTTTCATTTAGAAGCTTGCCTTTCTAAAAATCAAAAAGTGCCATTTTATTTACGTCCATAAAGTAAATTTTAATACTGGGCAGTAATTCCATTTGATAAATTACAGTTATGTGGTATGTCTTGGAAATCCAGAGTAAATTACACAGGTGTGAGAATACAGGGCTTTCTTGTGCAGTTTTGTGGGCCATACACATTCACAGGATCACAGAATGGCTGAGGTTGGGAGGGACCTCTGGAGATCATCTGGTCCAACCGTCTGCTCAGGCAGGGCCACCTACAGCCAGTTGCCCAGGACCATGTCAAGGCAGCTGTTGAATATATCTGCAAGGTGGGAGACTCCACCATCTCTCAGGGCCACCTGTGCCAGTGCTTGGTCATCTTCAAAATGAAAAAGTGTTTCCTGATGTTCAGAGGTCCTGTGTTTCAGTTTGTGCCCATTGCTTCTCGTCCTGTCACTGGGCACCACTGGAAAGACCCTGACTCCATCTTCTTTGCACCCTCCCTTCAGGTATTTATATACATTGATGAGATCCCCCTTGAGTCTTCTCTTCTCCAGGCTGAACAGTCCCAGCTCTCTGAACCATTTTCCTCATAGGAGAGATGCTCCAGTCCCTTCATCATCTTTGTGACCTTTGCTGGACTCTCTCCAGTAGCTCTGTATCTTTCCTCTACTGGGGAGCCCAGCACTGGACCCAACACTCCAGGTGTGTCCTCAAATAGTGCTGAGTAGAGGGGAAGGATCATCTCCCTTGACCTGCTGGCAATACTTCTCCTAATGCAGCCCTAGATACCATTACCCTTTTTTGCTGCAAGGACACATGCTAGTTCATGTTCAGCCTGGTGTCCTTTGTGTCCCCAGGTCCTTTTTTGCAAAGCTGCTTTCCAGCTGGGTGGCTCCCAGCATGTACTGGTGCCTGGGGTTGTTTCTCCCCAGCTGCAGGACTTTGCACTTACCCTTGTTGAACTTCATGAGGTTCCTGTCAGCCCATTTCTCCAGCCTCTCCAGGTCCCTCAGGATGGCAGCACAACCCTTTTGGTGTATCAGCCACTCCTCCCAGTTTTGTGTCATCTGCAAACTTGCTGAGGGTATGCTCTGCACCATCATCCGGATCATTAATGAAGATGTTGAATGGGACTGGACCCAACATTTGCCCCTGGGGTACAGTGCTAGTTATGGGCCTCCAACTAGACTTTGTGCCACTGATCACCACCCAATTACAAATTGAACCATGAAAATTAAATTTACTGGCTGTTTACAAGGAGAAAAACGGTCAACAAATTTGATCCCATTAATTGGAAACCTGTTTTTTTATCCTTAAGAAGCAGAAGTACTCAAAGTGGCCTGCAATGTTTTAAAAATTTAGGGTTTTTTCTTTGCCTTTGTAATTATGTCATTTTCCATCTCATCGTGGGACAGATACTCAGCTGGGGGAAATTGAATCATCATTTGACAAAAAGAGAACTTCACTGATTGACACCAAAGGACCCATTTCCTCTCCATATTTCTCACCAGATTACAGCAGAAATGCTGCACTGTTAAACCTTACTACCCTCAGTAGCTTAGTTTTTAGGTTATTGCTCAGGGTTGCAGCAGGAGAAACAGAGAATTTAGGAGAAAATGCTGCCATATTAGTGACATACAGATATAAATGAGATACAGGTTTTCACTTTCCAGTATTTGTTCATTTGCTGTTTAATATAGTTGACTTACTTTTCCCTGAGGATTTGTGGTGGGTTGACCCTGGCTGGACACCAGGTGCCCACAAAAGCTGCTCTATCACTCCCCCACTGAGCTGGACAGGGGGAGAGAAAATATAACAAAGGGCTCGTGGGTCGAGATAAGGACAGGGAGAGATCACTCGACCAATTACCGTCACGGACAAAACAGACTCAACTTGGGGAAAATTAACTTAATTTATTGCCAATCAACCAGAGCAGGGTAATGAGAAATAAAACCAAATCTCAAAACACCTTTCCTCCACCCCTCCCTTCTTCCTGGGCACAACTTCACTCCCAGATTCTCTACCCCCCCCCCCCAGTGGTGCAGGGGAACGGGGAATGGGGGTTACGGTCAGTTCATCACACGTTGTCTCTGCCGCTTCATCCTCTTCAGGGGCAGAACTCCTCACACTCTTCCCCTGCTCCGGCGTGGGGTCCCTCCCATGGGAGACAGTCCTCCACGAACTTCTCCAACGTGGGTCCCTTCCATGGCATGCAGTCCTTCAGGAGCACACTGCTCCAGCATGGGTCCCCCATGGGGTCACAAGTCCTGCCAGAAAACCTGCTCCAGCGTGGGCTCCTCTCTCCACAGGTCCGCAGGTCCTGCCAGGAGCCTGCTGCAGTGCGGGCTCCCACGGGGTCACAACCTCCTTCGGGCACCCACCTGCTCTGGTGTGGTGTCCTCCCCGGGCTGCAGGTGGAGATCTGCTCCACCATGGACCTCCCTGGGCTGCAGGGGGACAGCCTGCCTCACCATGGTCTTCCTCATGGGCTGCAGGGGAATCTCTGCTCCAGTGCCTGGAGCACCTCCTCCCCCTCCTTCTGCACTGACCTGGGGGTCTGCAGGGCTGTTTCTCTTACATGTTCTCACTCCTCTCTTCAGCTGCAGTTGCTGTTCCACAGCATTTTTTATTTTGCTTCTGAAATCTGTTATCCCAGAGGAACTACCACTATCGCTGATGGGCTTGGCCTCGGCCAGCGGTGGGTCTGATCTGGAGCCGGCTGGCATTGGCTCTGTCACACACAGGGGAAGCTTCCAGCAGCTTCTCACAGAAGCCACCCCTGTAACCCCCCCTGCTACCAAAACCTTGCCACACAAACACAATACAGGATTACACTGTAATTGTCTTTGCCAAGCCCAAGCTCACAGTCTTCTCAGATGTCAAATTTTCACTGACTGCTAATGTTGCTTTTGGAAAGTGTTAGGATTGGGTATACAGTCCCTTTTACTTCATGGGAAAGTTAGGGAGGGGGGAAATGGATCGTTCATTGTTTATTGACAGACTATTTCTGTTAGTGCTAATCCCATAATCTACATTCTGTCCTGAGAATCTGTTCAGCTCACCTAGATTTGTCTTCTTCTTGCAGGATAAAATCTTTTATGATCGTGTTGTACAACCTGTCTTAAGGGAAGACAATGAAATAGGAGTTCGATCACTGTCAGAGAGTGAAGACAAGATCAAAGGATCATTTTCTTTAATGTCTCTGTTTGACAGCATCACGTACAACAAGGTTAGAAAATACAAAATTCTTCCTCTTTCTTGTATATTCTAAACTAATGGTACAAAGTAGTTTTGAGAGGAACTGTTGAATTACAATGCTTTTTGTACGTTGATTTGTCATTCAAAGTCTGTTTCTGCTGCACACACAAGTTTATTGTATGTTGCAGATCCATTTGGCTATGAAAGAAATGGTGAAAACATTTTTAACTCCTGTGAAATATGAAATGTAGGAGTAGCCTAACTTCTCTGGAATGTAGTTTGAAAAAATACTGCAATAATAATTGCAATAATAATTCATGTTTTCTCACAGCTTTTTTTGTACTCCAGGGGGCTTCTATTACCTGGATGCTTTCTGGTTTCCTGACTCAGAAGTTGTTTATCAGAGCACTTACTGTAAGTTTGAAAAACTAATACCATCATCTTGACTTACAAACTTGAAAATTACAATTGTACAAATTGCTGTTTGCCTTGCTGATGTTTTTCATCGAACCCTCATGAATTCTGATGCTTGTGTTTGTTTCCCTACAGTTGTATCTGAAAGAATTTTCCTTCTCAAATGCTAACCAGGATGATCTCTGGACCCACATACAGATGGTACTAATTTTATCTCTACTATTCTTGGTCTGGTGTTTGGCACAGTCCAAATTTAGGGGGTATACTATTTGTGGAAGACTGCACTGGAATTTGGCTATCCCTGGTGCAGTCTTTCTCTTCCATAGAATTTGCTTTGCTGGCTCTTTTGGCTATTGTCTTCACAAGTGTTTATTTGGTTGCTTTACTGCACCTGAGATCAGTGGAGCTAAGTACAAGGAGTAGAGAGATGAGATGGGAAATGAGAGCCAGGTGGAGTTTTGGGTTTCATGGAGATTGCCTAAGCCTACATGAAATTGCATAGCCTATTCCTCTGGAGCTTCTTAAGTTTCGCCAGATCAAAGTGTGTGATGCTCTGGGCTTGATGATTAAAGATGCTGATATGTCACAGATCCAGCAATGTCTATATGCAGGGCAGTAGCTCAGCATTTTAACCTTTGCTGGTTTTGGCAGAAATCTGAATAAGAAAACAGGTGCTAATAACAGGTTTATTTTTTAAAATTCCACTTTCCTGTTCCTCTGAAGAAGGCTTCCATTGTGTTGCAGACTCAGTCTTAGGTTAAGAACAGAGTGCCACTATTTCAGATATGCAAGGCAGCCACGTCTTTTAAGCCAACAAAGAGTGTACCTATTCACAATAGTTGGGACTCTAGCTTCATATCTTTTTCAATTTGTCTTTACTATTCAGTTTGTTCATTACATAGTCACTTAAAAATCTTTGTGTTCCGGCAGCTTTATTTGAATGAAATTAGCAAATTAAGTTTGTCATAGCCATACAGGGGTGTAAGTATATTAACACTAAAAAGAGAAAGGCTAGCAGTCAGGTTATAAGAATGAGAAACGTCATCTCAGTATTTCATAATTCCTAAAAAGGCTTATGCTGTCTTTATTATAACATCAATAATGTCCTTGGGACTTTGTTACTTCTTTTTTTTTCATGAATCCAAAAATAGCAAAGTGCTAAGCAGTTATATTTCCTCTAATATGTTAGAATAACCCCCACAGTGTTGCTGAAGCAGTATCAGTAAGTACCTGTCTATCATAAATATTTCTAATTCCTGTTTCTCTTGCAGGTCATAGATGCACAGGATAAAGTTCAGTTGCCAGCATCTGTAAAACAAATAATGGATTCCTGGACATGCCAAAATGGGTTTCCAGTTTTAACATTAAATCTAACCACTGGCACAATCAGTCAGGAACAATTTCTTAATAAAAAGAATGAAAAGAGTACTGATTCTTACAAGTATGTTTAGCTTGTGTTTTTATTGTATGTTTATTCCCTATTTTTTGCAGGAAACTCTTCAGTTAGGACATTATGTTTTGACCGTCAGATTTTTTAACTTTATGTTTTTTCTTGTCACAAGCTGTCAAGTAAAATCTGTATGAGACCGGAGTTTGCAATTGTTCTGCAAGCGGCTTGTTTTCCCCAAAGGTTGCTTTCCTCTGGAGTAGTGACTTTTCCAGCCACATAATGACTTTTTAAGGACAGCCACAGGCCATGAATAGGTTGCAGGGTAGGAGTTTCGCCTGGCATTTTCTTCTTTCCTCATCCCTCAGTTGTATGGACTGGGGACCTGGATGAACCATGCTGTAGCTTCTTTCCAGTGCACATATCCTCAGCTTCTTCTGCTTGGCAAGGATAAAGGGGTTGGTTGCATTTAAGTACTTATATAAATGACCCCTTTCTCAGAAAGTGCTGAGTACCTGACATGCAGCTCTAACCTGTCAGTGAACACTGCTGAGTGCCTGGTGCTTCTGAAATCTGTGCTGCTTATTTAGATGCCTAAAAATAGTGACAGAAGGAGCTGCCTTTGGTCACCCACTTTGGAAACTCATGACTAGAGTTTGAACTTTCATGAAATTCAGCAGCTGTCATGAGCATTGGGATGCATGGACAGGGCCCATGAGATGGGTTCTCATGTGGGGAAGAAGCATAAAGGAGAGCAAAACCCAAAGCAGTTTCTCCCTGGCTGCTGTTGCTGGTCATACAAACAGCCAAAAGAAATGTTGATGAGAACCACAAACTTTCTTTTGGTCCCAAGCTCCTGGAATTGCAGAGCGTTGGTCCATTCAGCACTTTTGGTTAGCTCAGGTAAGGAGTTCCGTTACAAATGTTACTTTACTGTAGTTAGCAAGAGGCAATACCATGTGAATGTAAGAAAATCCACAACATGTGTTACAGAATTTTTCAGGGTTTTGAAGCTCTCATCTGTTTTTGCCAGGAGTTTTACATTCCTTCAGAAAGGAAATTGTAGTTGTCAGAATTACAGTTGCAGTGCTTGCCTGGGGCCCTCCTGAAAAGGAGCTTTATGTTCTCTAGAAATAGGGTGAAGTGTAATAAGTGAGGAGAATAAAATTATTGCCTGAAGAAGGAAAGCCAGAGCACAGACATACAGCGGTATTCAAATACCTAGCATCGAACAATATACTAGACGTGAGTGCCTATTTAAAGCCATGCTAAAACTCACTTATCTTTAATGAACCTAAGTGCTGATCCAGCATAAGTATCACTGTCTGAGGAAGTTTTGTGCATCAGGGAAGAGAGAAGGTAGATGGAGATTCTTGTAAGAAGGGATTCATCTGCAATCTAGTTGAGCATCAGCTGAGAGGGGTTTTTTTAAGCATAAGAATTAATGATATTATCTCTTCTTTTTATCAAGTAACACATGGATTATTCCTATTTCTTGGATGAGAAACGGATCATCACAACCCTTAATGTGGCTAGATAAAAGCAGCAGTAAGTAATGTATTTGTTCACACATGCTAAAACCAAGCTGACAAAACCACACCTAATTCTTCTATAAACAGAGGACATATTTGAATTGAATAGGGAGATAAAACTTTATTACAGAAATACCTATGTTCATCTGTTGTGCTAATTTTGTGTTACAATAGCAACAGATTTTCAAATAGATTAATATTGGTTTTTTCTATGTTGCATCAAACTTTAGTGTATGTTTTTAATAATGCAATGGAACACGAGTAGAGATTTCCACAATAATTTTGATTTTGTCATTTTGTACACAAATCCAAACTCTTAGCTCTTCATGCTTCTGTATTATTCTTACCCCAGCAGATCCCATTGATGTTAATGACAGCTTTTGAGTATAGGTAGGATCTCAGCTGTGATATATCAGCAAATGATCAGCTCGAATAGTAGATACAAGACTGAAAAAATTAAAACCATCTGTGTGAAGTGACCTAACATTGTCACACATGGATATCTATAAAAACAGGAAATTAATATTTTCAACACCATTTAGTTTAATTTGTTTATGCAAATTATATGCAAAACCCTCTCTTATCAAAAGAGTAGGATTTTTAAAAGTTTTAAAGGTTTACGGTAGAAAAGTGGGTTTATGGGCATCTCCAATCAAATACAAAATTCAGTTCTTCCTCATCTCAGTGTTTTCCAATAAACAGCTATAATTTTTTGAGAAAGAAAAAATACAATTACTAGAGTGGAGTAATAATTTTTCTTTGGCAAGTCAGCCCTGAACTCCACCAGGTTTTGAATCAGTTACAAGGAAATGCAGAGACTGATATGTTTGTGGAATGCTTAAAGCAAAACTACAATATGCTGTGTGCATATTGCAGCTCTCCACCCTCTGTTTGCAGTGGTTTGAAGCTATTTTCCGTCTTTTTCAGGCAATAAGATAGCTTGAGTGATGATTTCACAGTATATGGACAATAAGCAAACAGTGGATGTTTATTCCTCTGAATGTTTTAAAGTTAAATAAAGCAGTGATTGCTAAGGTGAAAATTTAGAAAATTTGCGGAAAAGAATTGTTAGGCAGCACTTGCTTGGAAGAATTGGGTCATGTGCTAAGCTTGTGTTATTGAAGTGACACCAATTCTGTTTCCTCACCCATTGTGTGACTTAAGAGCTACAGAAGTTATTAAAAAAACCCATCATGTTGCATCTGCCTGAAGGGACTATGATGAAGTAGAAATTCAGTCTTTAAAACACATTCCACTTCTATTTGAAAGCCATGTATCAAACATACCAGAGACTACTCAGTCAAGGAATTTGCATTCACATTTTAAGATTAAAAAGATAATACTTTTCTTTTTGACTTTTTCATACATAAATAAACCAAATGGTTTCTTACAATACTAGAATTGTTAAGGGTAATTTTAAATTCAGTTACCATTTTGTTCCTGTGAGATTGAAATGGCTTCTGGTGGAGAACTGTTATGTTATCATTCAGAGCTCTTCATCAGAATGGTTTTGATAAATGAAAATGAGGGATTTGGTACAAAGTACAGTTTTAACTTGAATTTTTGATTAGTTGTTGCAGTGGCGTAACAATACATAAAGAGGAGACATCTCAAAAGTGATTTTGCTTATGTGTGTTTTTGCTGCAAGGAGCTCTGCAGGAGCTGATTTATCTTACTTCTAAGCAGGTTAAATTAAACTCCAAGCTCCAAGCTGGGCTGCTACCGGCAGCCAAGTATGTTCATTCAGTGCTGCACTGTACAGTGTTAAAAGCCTGTCCTGTTGTTTTAGGGCTCTGCAGACAACGCCTGCATACTTAGCTTCTGCCCATGTAATTGTGTTGGTCACTGCCCCTGAGTGAGATGTCTGCACAGCAAAAGAAAGACACACTAGGAGGATAGTGTTGTTATGGTAGAACATGTTTTGCTGGGGAGTGGAGGAGCATAGTTTTGCTATTTTAGCCGGATCTAAAAGTGCTCTTAATGATTAGCAGAGCATTGAACCAATATGCCATTATAGAGGAAGTACTGCTAGTGCCATATTCTAGTCACCCATGCTGTTTTTAAATGGTTAAGCCAGCATCTGTCTTGTGCCACTTCTCCGTCTCATTTAACTTGTGAAGATGACTGAGAATGAATCCTGGAGTACTTGCTCTATCAAAACACATTGAAGTCTCAGTCTTCTGTTCACAGTAAAGCAGTGCTGGGTCTGGACTACTTGCCAGTGTTGATTTATTGTCTTAAGAGAGTTTGCCTTCTTAAATTGGGATGATTGTAACCAGTTAAAGCAGCATTTGAATCCTCTTCCGATGAGGCAGCTTAGAGCCTTCAGGGCTGCACCGGCTCCTTCAGAGGTACTGTAGACTATCAGGAGCAAGTAATCAGACAAGCACACATGAAGTAGGTAGTAGTGAGATGAAATGGGACTGCAGAAGGAGGCCTTCAGTGAGTGATGTAACTCAAAAGGACTATGGGACTATTATTTAAAATAAATGTTTTTGATTACTTGTCTCTTGCATAAGCTTAACTGTTTTGCTTTCCTTGATCTCCACTTATGTGAATACTGGTAGGTGGTCGGTTCTTCCTTAAGGTACTGAGCGTTGTGTTTTGGAGCAGCACTGGCAGCAGCAGGCATGCTGGGGGTGCATGCCCTGCAGCAGGCATGTGAGGCCATTGCTCCTCCTCCAGACTGTTTATTCTTGCGTAACCTTTCTGAACTCTATGAGCTAAAGGGTAGGAGCAGAGTGGGTCTTCTGCATCCCCTTTGTCATCTCAAGGTGCTCAGTACCTGAGGGGTCAGTTGCTTGATGAAGTTCTTCTGCTGTGTAGAGCAGAGTTCACAAATGCACTGAGCTTTTGGGGGATTCTCTTTGAGGCCAACCTCAAAATTGCATCTCAGGTCTCAGAGGAGCACCAAGTCCAATGTTTATAAATGCAAGAGAATTTAGCAGTGCACAGAAATAAAGTGATACATTTTAATGTCACTTTACAGAAGTGTTTCCTGAAATGCAAGTATCAGAGTCAGAATATGACTGGATCCTGCTCAATGTAAATTTAAGTGGATACTACAGAGTGAACTATGATCAATTAAACTTAAAAAGATTAGCACGCTTGCTTGAAAATGATCCAAAGGTAAGATCATATTTTTTTTCTCAAGCTTATAAACAGAGTCTTTCCATCTATTTCTTCTTGCAGTTCTTACCAGTAATCATAGTGATGAAAACCTGAAATAAGGAGAAACTCACATATCACCTAAGAAGAAATGATCCACTGTTGCATCACTAAAGCTACTGGCAGCCTTCCATAGTGGAAGAGGAACAGGCCAAAATAGTTTCACCATAAGCATGAAAATGACATGAGATGGCATTCTGTCTTCAAAGTTGTCTTAACAGCTTGTGGTTCTTCCAATCTCTTAAATTTGGCTCAAAGGGTTATCGGTATGGATGTGTGACGGAGCTTTATCTGCTGTTAGGTAACCATGGAGAAGGAAAGCTGGGAGAAAGCTTTTTACTTCCACATTTCCTCAAACCACAATATTTCTGCCAGTGAAATTTAAAAAAAAAAATCATCTGACTTGGGTTTTTTGGTTGGTCTTGGGGTTTTTTTTGGTGGACATTTTTCTTAGAAGAGAAGATCCAATCAGTTCTACTTGGGCTCTTTCAGTCCTCTATAGACACTATAACTCGGAGTAGATTTCATCCCACCTCTGACTTGCCACAGCTTGGGCTGAAGGTGAAAGTGGCACAGAACAGCCTATACCTGTCTGTGGCTGTATATGTGGTTGCATAGTATTTAATGTTGCCTAACCCTAGAAGCTCTAGTAGTAATGTCAGCTCATTCATTTTGGTAACAACGGTGAGAAAGCTTAAGATTTCAGCATAATAGTAATCAGTGCAGCCAGGCGACTTCTCCAGGTCTGGATGCGAGGCCGAACAGAGCGTGCAGTGTGGTCAAAACCTTTCTACGGCACACTGGCTTCCTTTCTTCTAGGCTTTTTTCTTTCACAGCGTTTCTAAGTCAGCAGGAAATTAGGTGTGTGCTGACTTGGGGCTGTTTTTTGGCACCGGTTGGTGGGAAGGTTTGCTCAAGCAGCGGCTGAGCTGAAGGGGTGGAGTTGAGGAGGGACCAGCAGTCCTCGTGAGAGCAGGAGCTGTAGGCAGGGGTTCACCTACGGCTCTGCCTCAGTCATTTAATTCATGATAGAGCCAGACACTCTGCTCTGGACTAATTTGAGTACATATTCTGAACTGAAGCCTCGAAAGGAAAAAATGTACTGAAACTATATAACTAGGATATTTTTAGGATATGTAGTGTTTCTGTATTTAAATTTTCATTACAGCATGCAAGTAAGAGGGGTCTTGAAATTCCATGCTTAATGTACTGTAGCTGTACCTTTATATATATAAATATATTATGTAACTGTATATTTATATATTTATATATATATAAACATCCCTAAAAGCACGTATGTTATTTTAGCTTAAAATGCAGGATCCATTTTATGATGTTTTGTAGAAGATTTCAGCTTAGAAAAAGTGTTACGGACTTGTCTTATCCTTCCGAAACATAGTAAAGATTTTTTAAACTCTTAATGACATGTTTAGATCTATTAACACCACATGAATGCTTTCTGCAGGCTATTCCCGCTATCAGCAGGTTCCAGCTGATAGATGATGTTTTTGCATTGACACAGTAAGTATGTTTTGAATATGTCATAGAAAACGATTAAACTACATGACTGCATTCAACATTGCTACTTCTGCTTTGTTCATTCCTACCCATATGTGCACCAGAAAAACAACAGCTGTTTTGACAAAATGGTGAGGGAGTTAAGTATTTAATCCATTCTTCCATCAGTGGTCAGTGATTTCTTTCAAAATTGTGTTTAACTTTTGTTCCAGCTCTTAGGAAATATTTTAAATAACGGGACTGCCATGAGTTTTTTAGGGACAAACCTACATTTGTTGTAACAGAAAAAAGATTCTGAATGAACAGTCTGAACTTCCCTTAATTTATTCTGGGCTATTTCAGCCTTGCTGTCCTGCATCACTCTTAATACCTCTTTCATTTCCCTTGCTGATGGATGACTCAGTTGTTTGTGTCTGTGGTGCTAGAGAGATCACCAGTACTGTAGTGAGCTGAAGAAGCAATAAATACGTCTGTGCCTCAAACGTACCAGAGACCCCAAAAGCATCAGACACCTATGATGTGGGAGCTCAGGGAGGAGGTGGCCAAAGCATACTGCCCCCCCTCAGAGCTTGTGGAGGTAGCTCTGAGACCAGGAATTAAAAATTCCCATTCCTCCTCTCATAAAAATGTCCTTTCTCATAAGAGAGCTCAAAACTACTATTTAATAAGGAATGTAACTGTGGAGTATAGAACTGTGCTCCTATGTAAGTACACTAGAAATGTTTTTGTTCTGGAGGAGAGGGGCTTGAATTGGAATTTTATTGGGAAGAAATTAATTCTGTGCTAATTCCACACTAAGGCACAGAAATGCCATGCTGAAGTTGTTAAATATAACATTTGTCCTGTTAGTTTGATAGTAGCACTGTGCTCTGTAATAAATGTTTTGAGAGTTCAGCTCTTAAAAGCACCATTTTTTTATATTTATTTTATTTTTCCAATGTCTTTTCTAGATCACTTTCCATGCAGTATCTTGATGTTTTATTGTCAGTTTCTTAAATAAACAGATACTTGTGGTAGGTAATTAATGTGAATAGGTATGTTCAAGTATGAGGTTTTTTATTTTCAAATAGGTTTGGATACATTCAGATTGAAACTGCGCTTGAACTAACAAAGTACCTTGCCAGAGAAGATGAACTCTTCGTATGGAATGTGGTCTTGTTAAACCTAGTACCTGAGAATTTGGAAAGTACTCTGAAGAACTATGAAGTATATCCACTTTTAAAGGTACCACCTTTTTTGTTAGTTAGCAAAGATACTAGGCCATTTAAATAAATCAGACTAAAATGAATGCTTTCTAAATTCTCAAGAATGTCATGATGACTATGATGGGTGATAGTTCTTGTCATTCCCTTTGCATGATTTTGTCAATTTTTTTTTAAAAAGGAGGAGGTACTTATTTGTATATATTAGTCAATGATAAATATCATTGAATCTTGAGCCATTCTTATTTTAAAGCAGAAATATATTCACATTCTTTATATTAAGCTTGATCCTAGGTTTTTGTAAAACTGAGGATCTGGAAAATACAGCTATCAGTCAGTAGTAAATAGTCAGTAGTAAGTAATGGGACTAACACTACTATGTATAAAGGGCATATGGTATGTATGTGCTCTGTGGTTTGTACTGACTTCCAGTTCATCTTCATGGAGAGAAAGAAGGAATTGGGTTTGGATACTAAATGAGATGATTCTCTCCCATATTTGAGCTACCTGAGATGATACTGTCTTATTTATTTCCTTGACTTCTACTTGAAGAAAATTTCACTTTTGTTTGAAGTACAATTCCACAATAGTAGTTCTCTTAAGTTGTAAAAATAAAGGTATGTTTGAAGTATGTGAGAAAAATGAAGTCTTTTCTGTTGAGAAATTCTTTTTCTGTCTTTTTTCTCTGAGAATGAGAATTTATTTTCTTTCATAATGAGTTCAAAGGTCCTGGTGATGTGAAATGGTAACTTCCCTGTTTGAATGGATGTACAGGTGTATTGAATTTTAGACCCAACTTATATACTTTATTTTAATGTGCTGTGTTGTCCAGAAATTAATAGTGGCAAATATTTAGGATAAATCTGAGTAAAGATAAATACAGTAAAATAAAAAACTTGTGTCTAAATTAAAGTAATTTTTCTTTCCCTTCTTTTAAAAGAAATACCTTTTAAAGAGAATGTTGCCAATATACCATTATTATGCAGGTTTTATTCGTCAAAATGTTGATGCTTTGGAAGATGACTATTTTGCTCAGTAAGTATTCTGGTTTTCTCAAAAGTTTGTTCTGATGTGATTGGATCTGATACACTGCAGTTTGCCTCTGTAAATTTAAATACAAGATACCAGAAGAATGCTCTAATTAATTTGAATGTAACTCAATTTTTATTTTTACTGTCCTATAAGTGTGTGTTACTTATGATGACACCTCCAATGAAACTGCAGTATCAGGAGAGTTTGTGATATTTTCAGTCTATTTGGTGAGCATAAAAGATGATAGTTTAATGATCTGAGTGGTAGGTTTTGTTTAGTGAAGAGCAGGCTCAACAGGCTGCTGCTAGTTGGGGAAGAACTCACAGGAATGAATTTCAGATATGATTTGTATGTCAATCACTAGAACATTAAAATAGTTCATTTTGCAGGGCCACTGCAGCCACAGTTTTGAATGTCAGAGTGATTTGGACTAGATGCAACTAGTCTTTTAAAACTACCAAGAGGGATACAAACCACACAAAAAACTAAGACAAATTGTAGTACATGGGTAGCTTCACTAATATTCCATGAAAATTGATGTCAGGAACCCATTATTGGTAGTTTAATTTTTTTTTTTTTTTTTTTTAATTAAACCTCAACTGTTTCTAGTAGAAGTTCTCCTGGGTTAGCAGCATCATGTGCTGAAACTGTGCTGGTCAAACACAGTTCAAGTACTCCAAATGTGGAATATGTGTCTTTTATTCTTGCTGTTTTGGCTTCCCTTCAAGAGTGTATTTGGAAAAACTTTTTGCAACAGCATGCTGGCTGGGCCTCCAAGACTGTTTGAACCTGTCATCTGAACTGTATGCTAAGTGGATGGACAACCCTGAGTACAAGTAAGAATGATAATGTGCTCTTAAAGGTGTGCATGCATAAGTGAGGTAGAAAGTTAAAGGGGTTTTATATGGGGGAGGCAGAATGAGAAATGCTTCCGTACACTGCTCTTCTTCCTCGACAGAATGACAGAATTTAAGCCTAACTGTGCCCCCCCCACCTCTTTCCCAAATCCCAACTTTATGATGATTTCATAATTACTGCTTTTTACATAGACTTTACAGGCTGGAGGATGCAAATTTTTGCCATGAAGATCAAAATCTGTTTAGCCACATAACAGGTGAACCTCAGATTAGGGCTAATATCCTTTATTGTCCAGTCCTGTTACTGCAGTCCAGCTTTAGGGTTACCATGTACACCAACTCAGTTTCTAAACTTCTCTTAGCAATACTGAGTGAAATGATGTTTGTATAATACAGGCATCTGCCCATGGTGAGCCCATCAAATTGCCTTGCATGTTCTGTATTCACATAAAGAGGTGCTGGCAACAGCTGTCAGTTCTTATGCTGATATTGGAGCCAGGTGGTCAGGTTTCTGGTCTGTGAGGATGGAGCCTGGGCTCTACCAGGATCAGACTTTCTGTATTTGAGTATTGCATTGTTAAAGAAACTTTATAATGTATTGAAATTCTTATTCTCTTTTCCTCCCTCTTTCTTCTGATGTTTTTCTGTGCAATAGTCAAATAGTATTGGCACCGGTGAGTGAATATTTGAAGTTCATTATTATTTTTATTTGTTGTAGTTGTGATAAATACTTTGTTGTTACTTGTATAGCTGTTGATACATGTAGTTAGCTAAGTAAACTGAACTTGTACTTTTATGTTTGTGTTTTTTTAAATAGCTTGTAGTGATCATCCTCATAAAAATGAAATTGTGCTTTGCAGTTAAACTGAAAAATTTAAGTAGCCTAAATATATTGTTATGTTCCAGACAGAATATTCTTACTATCCCACACTAAAAGCAAAAATGCTATGCTGAATTCTCAGGCTGTTTTCAAAATAGTCACCTATCTTCCCCTATTAATAATAATTGGAATATTTTTTTTTCCTTGTGGAATACTACATACCTTATCTCAGTTGAAGAGCTGAAAAGTCTGTGAAATATATTAGCTGATTGGGTTTTGAATTAGATGGAGAAGATTAATTTTGCTGTCCTTCCTGGCACTGAGATAAGTTCAAAGGGACTTTAGAGCCTCACACTTCTATAAGTGTGGGAAAAAATACAACTATGAATTTTATTAAGTGAAAAAAGTGAAAAAAATGATCATGTCTTAAGGAAAAAACCCCAGGAGTGTGGTGGGTTGACCCTGGCTGGACACCAGGTGCCCACAAAAGCTGCTCTATCACTCCCCCACTGAGCTGGACAGGGGAGAGAAAATATAACAAAGGGCTCGTGGGTCGAGATAAGGACAGGGAGAGATCACTCGACCAATTACCGTCACAGACAAAACAGACTTGGGGAAAATTAACTTAATTTATTGCCAATCAACCAGAGCAGGGTAATGAGAAATAAAACCAAATCTCAAAACACCTTTCCTCCACCCCTCCTTTCTTCCTGGGCACAACTTCACTCCCAGATTCTCTACCCCCCCCCCCCAGTGGTGCAGGGGAACGGGGAATGGGGGTTACGGTCAGTTCATCACACGTTGTCTCTGCCGCTTCATCCTCTTCAGGGGCAGAACTCCTCACACTCTTCCCCTGCTCCGGCGTGGGGTCCCTCCCATGGGAGACAGTCCTCCACGAACTTCTCCAACGTGGGTCCCTTCCATGGCATGCAGTCCTTCAGGAGCACACTGCTCCAGCATGGGTCCCCCATGGGGTCACAAGTCCTGCCAGAAAACCTGCTCCGTGGGCTCCTCTCTCCACAGATCTGCAGGTCCTGCCAGGAGCCTGCTCCAGCGTGGGCTTCCCACGGGGTCACAGCCTCCTTTGGGAACCCACCTGCTCTGGCGTGGTGTCCTCCCCGGGCTGCAGGTGGAGATCTGCTCCACCATGGACCTCCCTGGGCTGCAGGGGGACAGCCTGCCTCACCATGGTCTTCCCCACGGGCTGCAGGGGAATCTCTGCTCCAGTGCCTGGAGCATCTCCTCCCTCTCCTTCTGCACTGACCTGGGGGTCTGCAGGGCTGTTTCTCTTATATGTTCTCACTCTTCGGCTGCAGTTGCTGTTCCGCAGCATTTTTTATTTTGCTTCTGAAATCTGTTATCCCAGAGGAAATTTTCCTGATGGGCTTGGCCTCGGCCAGCGGTGGGTCTGATCTGGAGCCGTCTGGCATTGGCTCTGTCGGACATGGGGAAGCTTCCAGCAGCTTCTCACAGAAGCCACCCCTGTAACCCCCCCTGCTACCAAAACCTTGCCACACAAACACAATACAAGGAGGTAGGACACTTCTTAGGTTTCAAATGAGAGATCACAATTCCTGTTCAGTTAAAGAGGCTTTTCATATGCTGGATAGAAAATGAAAAGGGCACAATAAACTTTTGACTCATATTTCACAGGCAGTTTCCTTTAGATGCTCTTACATTCTCCATTCTGAGAGCAAAATTCATAACAGCACACTATAGCTGTTCTGCCACAGGTAGAACCCAGTAGGATTCTCATATCTTTGGAAGGAAGTAATGCTTTTCCCTTTCAGATAAAGTGATCAACTTTCAGCTGAACATTTCCAAACAGTTCCTGGCAGAACTTAACTGGACTTGATATGGTGCATTTTTATCTGTTCTGTGGAGATAATGAACTAAGAGCCGTGATCCCCAGCCAGTTACTCAGTTTTACTGGTTTTTGCTTTAGGAGTGAAGTGGAGCTAGCTAAATTAATGTATTCTCTGTGCTGCTATACTGGCTTGTCTAGGAGATGTCTAGGAAATTAGTCTAGAGGGAGGGACAATGTTGCTGTACATTTTAGTTATTTACTAAAGGTAACCACATACTGCTGTTTTTCTCAAAAGTTAAGAAATCACTATGTCACTTCTGCATTGGCTTCAGGAAAACAATGTAAAATAATCCACCCTTCTTCCCAGCAGCTTTTTGCATCCTCCCCAAGATCCAGAAACAAGAGAATCCTGGCAGGCCAGTAATATCAAACCACACAATCACTCCCGGAAAAAATATCAAGATTAATAAGCCCCACTCCTCATCTAACATAACCTCAAGCTTCAAAGTCCCTCTGGAACACAGTGGACTTCCTCTGTGACCTGAACAACCTAAACCGCTTCAGGGCCACTGTAGATGTCAGCAGCCAGTAGACTGTTGTTGTCCCATAGTAGGCTGCCTGTACAGCCCACCTTGAATGCTGAACATCAGAGCTGCCGCCAAATGATACACAGAGCTGTCTATTTGCTCTTCAACCCACAACTTTACACGCAGTAACCAACATTTTCTTGAAACTATTGGAACAGCTGCAGTAGCAAAATAAATAGCTGTATTTTAGGCAAAGCAGCTTTACTCTGCTGGACTGTACCATGGCCTCTTTCTGCAATCTTATGGAATGATTATTAAACAAATCACTAAACTCTGTAACTCAAATAAGATCTCTCGTAAAAGGATTCCTTGCAGGACTGTTCTTTGCCTTGACATAACCACTCAGTCTCAGTAAGCATCATTCTTGGTGGCAAACCCCTTATGTTCCAGCACATATCCAGCTAAATGAATCCAAACTTTTTTTTGCAGTAAATATAAAACGTATCCACGCTTTCTGTTATTATGCTGGTGAAATCCCCAACAGGACTATCAAAATCACTGCATCTTGCACTTGTTAACAAGTGGTGTCTGTCATGCAAAACACCTGACTCTCTCCCTCATTCCCACTAGTCTTTCTTAGTTTCCAGAGTTTATAAATTACTTGTCTCTACCTTTTGCTTTGAGGATTGCTGTCATATAGCCCTCCTTCTGACGAATATTGTTTCTCATTCTGCTGGTATCATCCCCATTTTCTCTAGGATGGTCTACTGAAACTCACAGGAGTTCTTTGCAAATTACATTTAAATTTGAATTTGCTGCTTCCAGTTTTGGGCCTGAAGAATGGCTTTTGTGACCAGAAACTTGTCTGTTTTTCCAATTCTATCTCCTGATCTAATGGAAGATAGTTTTTACACCTCTACTTACAATCTTGGTCTTATGTAATGCTAAGCAGATTAACAGCATGCCATAGGGAAGTTAAACATTTCATTTGTAGCAATGGGACCCATTCTCCTACATAGAATTAGTCCAAAATACCATTAATTTAAACTGTTTTCAGAGAGCTTGCATAGTATAATACATTGCTATCACTGGAAAGCATTGACAATGTCTTAATGTCAGGGACACATCATTGCCACAGGAGAAATTTTCTATTCAGCCTTTGCACATGAAGTGAAGTATTACACTAATAATGTTTGCATTTAGTTTCTGTTATGAAATTCATCACCATGTTGTGGACTCTCCCCTGGGGTGGGAGTAACAGGAGGCTGCCTGCTGCATGGAGAAATGTCCCTTCTGTTTCCATTTGTGCTGCACATGGCTCTTCCTACTGGATGCAATCACTGAAGAAACTTTGAAAGGGCTTGTCTGGGATGATGCTTATATGCAGCCATACACTCTTTAATGGTGTGATCTATGTCCTAGGCTCAGTTGTGAAAGAGTGGCAGTGACACTGTATGTACACAAGATAGCTTGATCCAATTGTTCTAAAAAAATGTTTTTGGTTTGCCTTTAAACTGCATGCTTTTTAAATGTTTAAATCATGAATAAAGCAATCAAATTTCCTAGCTTGATTTAGATTGCTATTTTATATTTCCTTTCTTGTGCATCTTTTAACTCTAAACAAACATTTGTTTTCAGTTATGTGTTAACTGCTGGTTTTAACTTTACAATACAGTGCCTTTTAATCATATTTTGCTTTGCAGAATCCCCTTTTTAATTAGAAGAACAGTCTGCTGCTATGGTGTTGCAGTGGGAAGTGATAAAGAATGGAATTTTGCATGGGAAATGTATAACCATACTGACTCCACAAAGGAGGATAAAGACATCCTGCTCTCTGCCATGAGCTGTGCTAAAGAGTCATGGTTACTTTACAGGTGACCTTGATCAAAGTATATGTTTGTGTATATAGAAGTAAATCATAAGAACACAAATACTGTACTGTGCAAACCTGATGGAGGTTTCCCTGCCCCAGAAGCATATGTCTTACAGACCACTGGAAGAATCTCAAGAGTTTTCTTATGGAGAAAGTATGATAAACAGGGCAAACACAAATGATCCTTCTGCTGGTATAACATCCCAGATGCTGGTAATCACTGAGAAAGGGATTTCCTGAGCTGGTAACTAGTGTGTCATGTCTAACACTGGGCCTGTCTTCTGTCAATGTATTTAGTGACCTTTTTGAACTAAAAGTATACCTTCAGGCTTTATAGCAGACTATGGCAACCCATCCCGTAGTATAATTGCATGTTGTATGAAAACATGCTTCCTTTTGGTTTGTTTTAAACCTATTTTGTGTTGTTTTTTTAACTTGGAATCCATTGTCTGCCCTTACTCTCTGGTAAGAAATGGTAATTATTATAATTTGCTTTGACATTTTTCCCTGCTATTTATGATTTTATATCATTTTCCCATACTCCTTCTCCCTGCTTATTTTGTTTCCAAACTAAAGTGTCATAGTCTATTTAGCCTCTGTGTGGAAGCCAAATCACCCAGGTTAAGGGCAAAAATGAAAATAGACTCACTAGCAAGCTGTTCACCATTTAAAGTGCAGGCTTACACTGGAAAGTAATTTTTTAAATTTCCAACTTCATAGAATCATAGAATAATAGAATATCCTGAGTTGGAAGGGATCAACAAGATCATCAAGTCTAACTCCTGACTCCTTATGGGGCAACCTAAAAGTTAAGCCATATATCAAAAGTGTTGTCCAAACACTTCCTGAACACAGTTTGGAATACTTTATTTATTATCTTGCACTGACATCTGTATAAACTCTTTTCACTACATCAGTAAAAAGATAGCTGAATTCTCGAATCTGTCATGTCCACATTACCTAAAGAATTCGTCCAAGGACAGAAATTTGCCAGTGATGGCCTAAAGAATGATCATCCAAGAATTGGCATAAATTCAATGGGTCTAAAGCTCTGAAAGTAGCAGAGATGTTTCTCCTGCCAGCCACCTGCTCTTGTGATGGCGGTCATTTGAGAAGACAGAACAAATATGCCTAAGAAGAAGGCAAGATGGATTGCAAGGAGATGTCCAATTAGCTATGCTGATACTCCACCTAACCTATGGTCCTTTATTGACTTTTTCATTCGCTCAGGCTAGCACTGGTCCTGGACAAACTCAGGGAGTGGTGATGACCTCCTTCCTCCCTGTGCCTTAGTAGTTGATAAGCCAATCTATTTTTCTAAATGACACCCTGAAAGTCTTTTGGGGTGAGGAATGTTAAGCTGGGCTTTTCCTGGCCCTCAGTATGTTTTGTCCATGCTGTCAAGCATGGTGGTGGCATGCAAATGGGCAAAACCCAGCTCACCTACTCTACCCATAAAGCAGCTGCCTGCAAGACCGTATGAGAAGATAACTCTTTAACAGTGCTCCTTGAAGGTAGAAGCATGCAAGGTGACACACTGAGGCAGCAAAGAGAATAGCTACTTACTTTTTCAAGATATTCAGGCACTCACTGCCACTGACATCATTGACAGGCAGTTCCTTAAGTACTTCTGAAATCATGCCTTAATCCCCATGAAAGCATCCAAGACCCCTTGTTATTGGGTCTTGTTATAGGGAACCCTATAAACAGGTCCCTTTTGCATAGAGTGTCTTGCTGCTAGCTTACTCTCTAGGCTTCATCTGTGTCACACCAAAGTGGCAAGTTTTCCTCCAGAAACTGAGGAGCAGTTTGGCCTTCCACAGGGTTGGCTGGTAGAAGTGGTTGGCTTTCTGTAACACAGATAAGAAAAGCACGTATATCCATCTGATGTGCTACACCCTCACTTTACTGAGAAGTAGAGAGTTGATGTGCAAGAACAGGGGATTTCACCAATGTAAAGACAAAACCCAAGCTGAATACACAGCTCAGAGTGACACCAACTTTGGTATAACCTTCCACACTCTGGTATTTGTTGAGACAGGAATTTTCCTGAACTGCATGATATTTCCAGACTGTCACTGTTAAGCAGCAAGTGATAGGTACAATTATTACCTTCTTTTCTAACAGATACCTGCAATATGGACTCAGCGATACATTATTTCCCTCCAATTGTACTTCAGTCATAATCTTATATGTGGTAACTAAGGATATTGGGCACCGTATAGCCTGGGAATTTGTTACAGAAAATTGGCCACTTTTAAGTGAAAGGTATGCTAAGCAACAGCTTTGGGTTCCCTTTACTTCTGTGGCCCTTTGGCTTCTTCCTCCATCTTTATGTTTGAGCTGTAAAATCCAGGTGCAGATTTTCCTTCCAGAGATGGCTTTTTTGTAATGATTGATGGAATTCCTTAAGTATGCAGAGCAGGGTTTTCAGAGGATTTGACTCTGATCAGGGCTTAATGTCAAAGAAGAGCTTGTGTCAGACACAGAATGCTCTAAAAATTGGTCTGTTCATGACTATTTCAGTGCTTTTAGAGTGTTAAATTTCCTGGAAAATCTGACTCTAGAAATGGGTTTATCTACTAGCATTTCACAAATGTGGGTGTAAAATGCTGGAGTAAGATTGTAACCTCATTTCCAAAGAGAGTATGGAGAGATGGGGGATTGGAGCATACAGGTTATGAGCACTGCAAGGACCAACTACAGTATTATTCCCTGACTTAAGCCCTAACCCATCTCCAGCCTACCTGCACTGATGCAGGTAAACTGTAGGTGAGCTTGGCCTACCTTTCTCGAGCAAAGCAAATATTCTGATGTTTGTTCGAAGACTCCCTCTCTCCTTGGTGGTAATGGTGAAAAGCAGCATGTGTGTGACAGAGTACATTCCTGCTGCTCTTGGTGTCAGAGGAGTCCATTGGGAGCCATTAGTGGCAGCATAACCAGAACCAGCCATCTGGGAGCATTCAAATGTGTATCTTTATTGTTAATGCCTGAAAGGGCAAGTTGTAGCAGATTTGTGTCACACCAACTTATTCCCTTACAAAACTCTTCTGTGTTCCATACTGATGAGAAATTTTCTGGGAAACTTATCCATTATTTTCAAACTAAAAGACTAGTGTGGGCGTTAATTTATATGCCATCCTCAAGATACTAACAGAAACACGAAGTTGTTAGAATCATTATTGGTTAGCCTTTCTAGCGCGGTTTGGCTGTAAGGGCTCACAAAGATTATCCATTTTAAGCAAAGAATTCACGTTACCAAAGTAGAAATACCTGATCTTGCTGGGAAATGAAAATGAAGGGGAATTAGTGTTTCATCCTGCTCAAATGTCTAAATTGAATGTTAATGATATTTCTTTAAAAGGGGAAAAAGAGTACAGAGTTGTAAACTTCAGCTTAGCTGGTATTTCCAACATGGTAAATAATAACTAAGTAGTGGGAGTATTTTCAAATGAGATAAAATGTAATGTATTGCTAATATGCTGTTTGAAGGACCTTTATCTCAATTTTACAGGTATGGGAAGGAATTATTACATGATGTCTTAAAAGTCATGGGAAGATATGTCAATACAGATGTACAAATCCAAGAGGTAAATCAGAGAAGCAGTTAGTTTTAACTTTATTGCCAGTTTGTAAATACAGCTTTTTAAATCCCTCATTTTTTAAAGAAATGATAGACTGTATTATATAATGTTGCTGTGCTGAGACATTGAGAAAAATTATACTTCCTCATCTGAGAAATAAACATATGAACACGCACCCACAACCCTGCAGTCTGTGTGTGCAGTTGGTTGTTGAGCATGGCATGAAAGTGGGCTTTTGTGCAGGGATGGACATTGTTCTGCTCTGTGTGGTTGCAGTGTAGGAGGTTGCCTGCCCCTGTGCTGATCATATGGCCTAGATGTGTGACACAGTTCATTCCTTTTGACTGTGTGGCAGCCCAGATGAACCCCTGAACAATACTTTCTAATTGGGCTGCTGTACATCTGGTAAAAGGGGATGGATTTTGGGAAACCTGCTGAAGGGTGGAAATCTTTGGGAGGTGGCTGTAGGCTGTCTTATTTTATTCCCCACAATAATCCACATTAGTGCCTGTGAGTAATAAATATCACTGCTGATTTCATACTCTTACCTTGTTCTTTCACCTTCAGTCCAAATCTCCCCAGATTCATTCCCAAAATACTATTTTCTTCTCTCAACAGCTCAGCTTTTGTGCTGTCTGCATGTGATCCCCATTTCTGTGCCAGCCCCAAACTGCTAGTATCTGTCATTACAAGAAAATATCTGCTTCCCTTTTTTGCTCTTGATTGATGCATGCATACAGAGAGTAACTGAGAAGGGATGCTTAATGAGGAGAGCAATACAGAGAGTTAGCTCCTAAAGTCAAAGAAACCTCCCTTCAATGTTCATGAACTATAAGTTTTTCACCTTCGGTCTTTAGGGGCAAGTTAACTTCCCAGGATGGCAAAAGCAACAGCCCGGTGCCAGCCTTTAAATTAACCTTCATGTTTGGAACTGGGTCCCAATAAATATTATCAAAGCTGTCTCATTTTCCCCTTTAAAATCTGTCTGTAGAGATCACCTTTGCCATAATGTCTCCAGGAAATGTACTAAAACTTGGGCTGCTGGCATGTTAGGTTGCTGGCTGTCATGCTGACATCTATCTAATTTCTCTTATTGTTTGTTTCCTGCTCCCCCCATATATTTCTTTGCTATTCTTCAGTCCTCTCGTCTTCTGCTCATTAGACTGATGGGAAAGATTTATTGTTCTGTGACTGTAGAACAGGCAGCACAAGAGGATTCTGCTACCCAACTAGTCCTAGACACTGTGTGGTACCACCAGTACTAGTGAAGTCGGCTGCATTTGAAAGGATTTTTAGAGGGACAGCAAAAGGGCACATTCCTGATGTGCAAGGAGCTTTCCCACTTTAGTGTAAATCAGTAAGCTTGTGCCATCCTCTCTTTAGTCTCTGCTGTCTCCCCCTTTTCTGTCTAAAGCATCTGTCAGGTACACAGTTGCTTGCTGCAAGTGAAGTTATGTGAACTAAGCTCATGTGTTTATTATGTCTTCAGTTGCAGGTTTTTTATAATGCTACACTGGAAGAGGATGAGAGAGTGGCTACTACTTTACTACTGGAGTTTACAAAATTTGAAAATATGGAAAGGAGAGAACTGCTAATCAAAGTTGCCAGCTGGTTACAGAAAAATGTAGATGATTGACTTGGAAAACAATTTCCAGTATATTTTAGAGTGTGATTCACTAGCATTTTGGTATTCATTTTAAGATGTAATTAAAAAAGCACATTTTTATGAGTCCCGTGGTTGTCTTCCCACCAGGAAGTCAGGCTAAAATCATTCACAAAGAAAAGAAATATTCAGCAAAGGAAACGAGATATAGATTTTCATATTATATTTCTGTAAATTAATTTCCTACTGGATGAGTTGTTAGTAGGGATGTGTTGCTAATAATAACCTAACATATAGATACAGTCCTAAATCCTTTGTTTTTTCTGAGTATCAGAATGAAAGGTGTGGTACAAGTTTGTGGAAAAAACACACAAGGAAGCTGCAAAAGTTTTATATTCTATTTTGCTCATGATTTTTATTGTCACCTTGGGCAAATCATTTAATCTGTCTCTCTCCACTTCTATGTTTGTAAATTGTGAAGAGGACAGTAATTTAGAACACTGCTATGAAACTTAAACTTGAGAATTACTTCAGAGCTGTAGGAGGGGAAGGACTAAAGAGACCTCCAATTTTCCTTGTAATAAATGAATACCTTGTCATTCAAACTTTATTTTTCCTTAGCAGGTCTGTACTTAATGTGTCTACATTCATATTGGTGTTTGATTAGGAATGTGCTTTTGAGGACACCCTCCCAGTTGTCTCCATTTAGCATGCTTCAACTCCCAGGACAGTCTTGGAGTGTGTGAACTGGATTCTTTTTGGATGAAATTTATCTAGGAGATGATGAGCTCCTGGTGTGCAACTGACAGACACCACCATCTGATGGTCCTTTTGTCCACGGCACTAGAATGCAACTAGTCTAAACTAACCCCTCTGGAACATCACCAAGTGTTTCCATTCTTACTGGACTGAGCTGCTCACTGATGTAAACATAGGGTTAATCATCTTGCTTACGCAGTATTATTTTGAGGTGACAGACAGACAGAATTCAGTCCATTAGTATTAGCCAACCATACTAGCTTGTGTTTGAAGAAGTATGGGATCCTCAGTCCATGCAATTTGTTTATTTGTGGGGTAACAGTATTATGACAAAATTACTGTACTGGTGCTCAGGTTAATGTAGAAAACAATGTTATGTGGGAATGCAGGAAACCCAAGAAGCTAGAGCACTGCACTATGAAGAGAAAAGGAATAAAACCCCAGACTTGTTAATACAAAGAATTTTTCACTGGCACCCTCTAAATACATTTAAGGAAAACACTGTCATGTTGGCTGCAATGTATCTTCTCTGCGCGCCACGGCTGAAAAGAAAACCTGTAGCTATTTTGAGACTACCTGAGGACCCCTTTAGTGTACAAGAATTACCAACTGGTACAACCAGGTTTGTGCTGGAGTCATTTGACCTCTAGCATGTGATCCAGTTAAGGGTAATGCCAAAGAAAATTGTGTGCATTCTTGACAAATCTTCATCAAGCTGATTCAGAAAGCAAAGGAAGTCATCAAGTCTGTGAAGAGTTAGAAGGGTTTTGCTTCAGCATTTCCTGTGATTCCCACTAGTTAATCACTAGCTCTGCATACCTCATCGTATGGGCTAAGCAAAGCTCAAGAAAGTAATTGTTGCAGGATTTATGGACTAAACTTCCCGTAACAATGTTTTACCCCTAAACCCAGTAGGTCCAAACCATTTCCTTCCAAACATGAGTAACCACTCTTCCTTTCTAACCACTCTTCCTTATTATTCTTTTGTTATCTTTTTCTTCTTTGCACTGAACAAAACTCTTAATTAGAAATGCCAATATGTAAACAATTACTAAAACAATTTTAAATAAGAATTATTTTCAAATAATGGCTCCTGGCTAATGTATGCCTCTTGGCTGACATTCTACATTGCAGAATAGGAGCACAGTTTTCATGGCAGAGTCAAATAGTGAAGATGATTGCTAGGCAAGCTGCCTGAGTAGGAGCAAATCTGAATTGCTCTTGCTACCAGAGTCCACACAATTCCACTTGGTGGCATGTAACATTGACAGCTGCACAATGGCAGTTCTTGCTGCTGTTGTGTACAAGTTGAGCACAGAGGTTTGGAGAGTGGCAACTGAGAGATGCAGCAAGGGAAGGAGAGGCGCACGGGAGGAATCCAGGGCAAGCTGGGAAAGCTGCTTTATTGCAAAGGGAGTTGGGGTGAAAGGAAGTTCATTGAAAATGAGTATGAGGATATGGATGGGACTTCAGGAAATGAGCTTGTACAGAACTTAAACAGATTGTGTAGGTGTTATGGAGCATGTAATTGTGAAGACGTGTGTGTGTATGGGGCAGTTTCCAGTGAGAGCAGGTGTGTCGTTGATAGACAGGTGGGATTTAGTAGTTTAGTAGTGAGGGGAAAAAAAAGTAGCTATGATGGGAAAAGACCAGCTTTTTGCCTTAAGTCCTGCTCTCTGCCCTGAGAGCAGAGAAGTCAAAAAATTACACTTGTTCTGCCTTTACAGCATGCATGTGTGACAGTGCAGGAGACTCAGGGGAGATGGCAAGGGTGGGGAAGAGATTGTACAGTGGAAGAAGTAAGGGAGAATTAGGACCTCAGGAAGAGGTGGAGTGGTTACACATGGTTGGAAGGAAATGGTTTGGACCTACTGGGTTTAGGGGTAAAATGTTGTCATGGGAGGTTTAGTCCAGAATAGTTGGGAAGGGAAGATGAAAAGAGGTGAAAGGACCAGGGGTTCAAAGAGGAGACAAGATGAGAAAGCAAATAAGGGAAGCTACAGGAGCAAGGGAAAATCCAAGGGGAATGAGGAGGATGGGGTAATGAGGGAGAAGTTCAGGACCCTCTTCAGTGCCTTGCTTGCCTTGCTTTCGTTCCCCAAAGAAACTCAACCTGAGGTATTTCGAAGGATTATGTTGTGTTCTTTTGGATTCTGTGTTGTTCATCTAGAACAGGGCCAATATCCCCTCACCAGTGTCCCTGCCCTGGCATACGTTGCCCACAGGCCTCAGTTGCCTTGGAGGCTTCAAGCACCTTCTCCCAAGTGTGCATCTCCAGCTGTGTCTGCAGCTCTTCCACGTGTCTCCTCCAGTTTGTTTCTTTCATTTTCTCCTGCCCCCCAACTGCTCTTTCTTATATATATTTGAGCAATGGTGCCATGTGTTCCCCTGACTGGCTACAATTCTAGTGTGCAATGGGCTGTTTTTGTCAGAGGCTGGTGCCATCGGTGGAATTTTGGGTTTTTTGCTCATGGGGAGGTTTACATGGCACCGGGCTTGCTGGCAACAGATGGAGTCCAGCTATCTCAAAGGGGGTAAAGGATTCTCACTTATGAGATGGTGGGGCTCGTAGAGTGGGCTTTAAACTAGGTTTGAAGGGGGAAGGGGATAAAACTATGCTCACCAGAGATGAGCCTGAGGGCAGCATGCCAATGTTGGGGGTGGAATCGATAGTCCAGCTCAAGTGCATCTGTGCCAATGCAGGCAGCATGGGCAATAAACAGGAGGAGCTGGAAGCCATTATGCAGCAGGATAAATATGACTTAGTTGCCATCATAGAAACACGGTGGGACGACTCCCATGGCTGGAGTGCTACAATGGATGACATCTGGATGGATGATGCAATAAGCTCTTCAGAAGGAATAGGCAAGGAAGGAGAGGTGGTGGGGTGGGTCTCTATGTCAGGGAGTGTTTTGATTGTACAGAGCTCCACAATTGTGATGACAAGGTTGAGTGCTTATGGGTAAGGATGAGAGGGAAGGCCAACAAGGCAGATACCATTCTGGGAGTCTGTTATAGACCACCCAACCAGGTTGAAGAGACAGATGAAACATTCTACAAGCAGCTGGCAGTAGTCTCATGATCAAGTGCCCTTGTTCTTGTGAGGGACTTCAACTTTCCAGACATCTGCTGGAAATACAACACAGCAGAGAGCAAGCAGTCTAGGAGGTTCCTGGAGTGTGTGGGAGATAACTTCCTCACACAGCTGGTAGGTGAGCCTACCAGGGGAGGAGCCTTGATAGACCTACTGTTTACAAACAGGGAAGGACTGGTGGGAGGTGTAATGGACAGAGGCCATCTCGGGCTTAGCAACCATGAAATGATAGAATTCTCAATTTTAGTTGAGGCAAGGAAAGTGGTCAGCAAAACCACCACTATGGACTTCTGGAGGGCAAACTTGGGCCTCTTCAGGACACTGGTTGAGAGAGTCTCTTGGGAGACTGTCCTGAAGAGCAAAGGGGTCCATGGAGGCTGGACATTCTTCAAGAAGGAAATTGTAATGGCTCAGGACCAGGCTATTCCCATGTGCCGCAAGACAAATAGCCGAGGAAGATGACCAGCCTCACTGAGCAGGGAGCTTTTGCTAGGACGCAAGAAAAAAAGGAGAGTTTACCATCTTTGGAAGAAAAGGCAGGCAACTCAGGAAGAGTACAGGCATCTTGCTAGGTCATGCAGAGAGGAAATTAGAAAAGTAGAAGCTCAGCTAGAATTAAATCTGGCCACTATCGTAAGGGACAACAAAAAATATTTTTACAAATACGTTAACAGTAAAAAGAGAGCCAAGGAGAATATCTATCCTTTATTGGATACAGAGGGGAACATTGCCACCAGAGATGAGGAAAAGGCTGAGGTACTTGATGCCTTCTTTGCCTCAGTCTTTAATAGTGAGACCAATTATCCTTAGGGTATTCAGCCCCCTGAGCTGGAAAGACAGGGACGGAGACCAGAATATACCCCCCATAATCCAGGAGGAAGCAGTTAATGACATGCTAGGCCACCTGGACACTCACAAGTCTATGGGACCAGATGGGATCCATCCAAGAGTAATGACGGAGCTGGTGGAGGAGCTTGCCAAGCCACTCTCCATCATTCATCAGCAATCCTGGTCAACAGGGGAGGTCCCAGACAACTGGAGACTTGCCAGTGCAATGCCCATTTACAAGAAGGATCAGAGGGAGGATCCACGGAACTACAGGCCTTTCAGCCTGACCTTGGTACCAGGGAACATTATGGAGTGGTTCATCTTGAGTGCACTCATATGGTATGTGCAGGGGATCAGGCCCAGCCAGCATGGGTTCATGAAAGGCAGGTCCTGCTTGACCAACTTGATCTCCTTCTATGACCAGGTGACTTGCTTAGTGGATGAGGGAAAGGCTGTGGATGTTGTCTACCTGGACTTTAGTAAAGCCTTTGACAACATTTCCCAGTGTTTTCCTGGAGAAAATGTCTGCTCATGGCTTGGACGAGTGTACTCTTCACTACATAAAAACTGGCTGGATGGCTGGGCCCAAAGAGTAGTGGTGAACAGAGTTAAATCCAGTTGGCGGCCAGTCACAAGTGGTGTTCCCCAGGGCTCAGTACTGGGGCCAGTTCTGTTTAATGTCTCTGTCAATGGTCTGGACAAGGGGATCGAATGTACCCTCAGTAAGTTTGCAGCTAACACCAAGTTGGGAGGGAGGGTTGATCTGCTCGAGAGTAGGAAGGCTCTACAGAGGGATCTGGACAGGCTGGATCTATGGGCCAAGGCCAACTGTATGAGATTCAACAAGGCTCAGTGCTGGGTCCTACTCTTGGGTCACGACAACCTCATGCAATGCTACAGGCTTGGGGAAGAGTGGCTGGAAAGCTGCCCAGCAGAGAAAGACCTGGGGGTGACAGCCGGCTGAATATGAGCCAGCAGTGTGCCCAGGTGGCCAAGAAGGCCAATGGCATCCTGGCCTGTATCAGAAATACCATGGCCAGCAGGAGCACGGAAGCGATTGTCCCCTGTACTCGGCACTGGTGAGGCTGCACCTTGAGTACTGTGTTCAGTTTGGGGCCCCTCACTCCAGGAAAGACATTGAGGTGCTGGAGCATGTCCAGAGAAGGGCAACAAAGTTGGTGAAGGGCCTGGAGCACAAGTCTTATGAGGAGCGGCTGAGGGAGCAGGGGTTGTTTAGCCTGGAGAAAAGGAGGCTGAGGGGAGACCTTATCGCTCTCTACAACTACCTGAAGGGGGGTTGTAGTGAGGTGGGTGTTGGTCTCTTCTGTCAGGTGGCTGGAGATAGGACAAGAGGAAATGGCCTCAAGTTGAGACAAGGGAGATTTAGGTTAGATATTAGGAAAAATTTTTTTACTGAGAGGGTTGTCAAACATTGGAATGGGCTGCCCAGGGAAGTGGTTGAGTCACCATCCCTGGAGATATTCAAAAAGCTCATAGACAAGGCACTTCAGGACATGGTTTAGGGGGCATGGTTGACGGTTGGACTCGATGATCTTAAAGGTCTTTTCCAGCCTAAATGATTCTATGATTCTATAATTTCTGAGATAGCTGGATGGAGCTGTTAAGGCACAGAGCAGTTCCTGGCCCACCAGCAGCCACCGTTGCCTAAACCTTGACAGTGCTGATCAATACAGTCCCATAGTCTCCGTTGCAGCCACCATCACCACCTGTCCCACAGCACACAGCTTGCAGCTTTCCTCCAAATACCAGGGCTGGCACTAAGAAATCTGTGTTGCCGCTTGTCCCCCTGCTGCCATGTGCTCTCCCTGCCAGTTTCTCCATCACTGTAAGCCAAGCTGTTCCCAGTAGGAAGAGAGACTTCAGAGCTGTATTAATCAAGGTCCAAGAGCACCAGCCAACTGCTCCTCTGCACCTCCAGGCACAGCTGCCCTGCTGCCTCACTCTGCCTATGCCCTCTTTCCTCCCTGGCATCCCAAGGAGCCTCCCAGGCAGGTGAAGAGAAAGCAGCTGGTTGTGGAGCCTGGGTGGTCAAGGTGCAAGCTACATGCCCCTGGCTGCATTGATAGCACACGTGGATGAGGCAGGTGGAGCAACCTGCTCTTTTCAGGGTTGTTGCAAGTCCCAGAAGGGTGAATATGGGTTAGGGAAAAGGGGGCAGGGGTTAAAATGCCATAAATGAACAGTGATGTAGCCTTGCCACATTTGTGTTGTGCAGAGGACAAAAAGAGCTGTCACCTTTGCATCCCCTGGGCCAGAGGTGCAGGGGCTCCTGGAGCAGAGTGTGATGGATGGACCCGACTCCTTGACCAAACTGGTGGTAGTTTGATTCAAGCTCCAAAGGCAGTAAAGGCCTAGGCCTTAACTGGGCCAAAAACTTCACTAGTTCCAACCTGTTCTCTGAAAGCTCACACAGGAACAGGATGACATGGTGAGCACTGATGCGTATGAGCTTGGAAACTGGAACACTGACCGTGTGATTAACACAAGAATAGCAGGTGGTTCTTCCAAGACTCATTTGTCAAGGAACAAAGGAAGTTGTGGGTACAAGAAGTCTCATGCTTACCTTTTCTATCGCATGTAATTTGACTGTGAGCCAACCACTTCATTCCATAAATACTACAGCCTAAGTGAGCCTTCTTTGAGCTCTCCTTGCTAAGCAGCTGGCTGCATGGCGGTGATCTCCTCACTCCTCGAGGCTGACAGATCCCTTACCAACTGCAGATCTTTGGTAAGTGAAAGATACCGTGCATAACATTGTATTATAGTGCACTAAGATTTTGTATTGGTAACTTTGAATCATTACTCTATGTTCTGTGCAGTAGGTGGTAGAGTGAACCTTGCCATCTGTTAAGTCTCACTTTTGTAACACCAGTTACAGTTCAGTAAAACCACTGTTGCTGCTACTTTTGGCGATTCTTTAACCAAAAAGTCGAAACCTTCCCTGCAGCAGAGGGACAACGGGCTCTGGTCTTTTGGGGTCTGTTGTCCGTCATTTTTTGTGATGGGATGTTCTCTGAGGCAAGGACCTGAGCGGGGATGGTGGGCTGACCTTGGCCAGCTGCGGGATGCCTGTCCTGATGCTCTCTCACTCCTCAACTAGGCGCAGGGAGGAAATGTGGTGAAAAAGCTCGCGTGTCGAGATAAAGACAGGGAGATCATTCACCAGTTGCCGTCATGGGCGAAACGGACTTGACTTGGGGAAGTTGATTTGATTTATCGCCAATTAAGATCAACTTGGAGAGTGCAAAACAACCCGCCAAATTAAAGCACCACCTTCCCCCCCCCTCCCTCTTTGCCAGGCTCGTCCTCACGCCCAACAATTCCACCTCCTCCCCTCGCGCAGCCCGGCGGGAAGGAGGAAGGGGGTCGAGGTCAGCCCCTAACCGCTCTTCTCTGCCGCTCGTTCCTCCTCATGCTGCTTCCCTGCCCCAGCGTGGGGTCCCTCCCAGGGGCCGCCGTTCCTCCAGGGCACGTACGTCTACCTGCTCCACCGCGTCCTCCCCAGGGGCTGCGGGGGAGCTCCGGCTCCGGCGCCCGCAGCGCCTCCTGCCGCGCCCGTCTCGCTGACCTTGGTGCTGTTCCTCACTTGTGGGTTCCCCCCCCAGTCCTCCGCTCGCCTGGCATTTCCCCCCGTTCTTAAGTAGGCTTTCCCAGAGGCGCCGCCAGCTTGGCCCAGGGGCTCCGGCGCGTCCCGCAACGGCCTGGAACCGTCGTGACCGGCACGGGGCTGCCCGCGGCCTCCGCCCCGCAGCTCCCCGCAGCCCCCGCTGCCAGCGCCCGGACAGAGCCGGTACAGAGGGGGAGGTAGCGCTCGAAGAGGGCACGCCGTCGTACGCGGCAGCGGGCACAGAGAGGGAGGAACGGCGAGGAAGGCGAGGGCGGCGGGAGGGGGGTAACTGGCCGAGGAGGAAAGCGGAGAGAGCGACCTCGCCCGCGGGACGCCCAGCTGCCGGCCGTAACGCCGAGCTGTTGGGGGTGTCGGGAGGTGCGATCGGAGCCCGCTGCCGAGGCAGCAGCCCTCCTGAGGCCGGTCGAGAAGATGCTAAGGCCAGACCTCTGGCTCGGGGCTTGGTAAGGAAGCGGCGGGCAGGAGGAAGCGGCCGCTTTTGCTGCCTCCCGTCGGCCGTGTGGAAGGCAGGGCGCCGGGCAAGCCGTGAGGTGCTCTGTCAGCACCGGCGTGCCGGGCTGGCCGGCAGGGAGGATCTGCAGTCTTCCCTGGAGGAAGGGGTTTTGTTCTCCCCTTGTGCCCCTTCTCCTTGGCATCTCAGCCACTACAATTCTCTCCCTGCCTTTCGTGTGCTTTCTCCCTGTCAGTTGCGCCGGCTCCGTCCCGTCCCGTCCCGTCCCCCCCTTTCTGATTTGAACATCCAGAAAGGAGAAAACAAGAGGCAGAAACACCTGATAAACCCGGCAGTTTAGAACAAATGGGGCGGGGGGGGGGGGGGGGAAATGAATTAGAAAATCGAGGAGCATCACCAAGACCTCACTCTGTGTTAGTGTTTTAACACTGAAATCACAAAGCCCCAGGAAACCGTTTTCCAATGGGGTAAGAACATTACAGATTAATTTTTAACACTGAAAAATGCTTTTTTTTTTCCCCTTCAGCTGCCCCGTTTGTACTGGCCACAGAATGCTACTGAGCACACCGTGTGGCAGAGAGAACTGAGGTGTACAAGGAGCAATCAGCTTGACATTGGATAATGCCCAGGAAGCTTAAAAGAAATTTAACGTATCTGTAACCATTTCTTTGTTTTTCTTCCCTCCTTTCCCCCCACAAATACTAGGGACATTTTTACCATATCTCCAAAACTTATTTACAGTCACATGCTCATGGTGGGGAAGACTTGTCCCTGAAGGAACCATTAGGAGTTTCACCACCAGAATCAATCTTTCTGAATGTCACCTAAGATTTTAATCTACATGTACATCCTCACTTACTCATCCCCTACCACCCACTCAGTAAAAACTGTTCTGAGTAGATTGCAGGCTGCACGTTATCATGTATGCCATGATAAATAAATATCGTAACTCATGCACAATTCAGAAACAGTTCAGCTACACATATATAAGTATTAGCAAAATGGAAGAAAAGAAGTTATTAAGTATGAGGTGGCTTAATCATAAATTTCATATTTATAGAGTTAATAATTCCTGTTTTCTCCATTTTGTAGAATATGGAGAAATCAGAAGAACATTGGAAAAAATCTAAGAGAATAAAACAGGTTGTAGGTTTTTGTTTGTGGGTTGCTGCTGTATGAGTACCTTGGAGATGGTGAATTTTTTTTCCCTTGAGGGATTTCTGGTTCTTTTTTCATGACAAGGAAAACAGCCTGTGGAGCAAAATGAAGGTACATGTAGCAGCATTTAAATCACCTAGCTAAGGTCTGCTGCTAGAATGTTACATCAACTTTTGGTTTTAAAAGTGTTTGGAGGTAAAGAAAATAGTGTGGTAAATAATAAATTTACTTGTCCTCAGCCTGGGTTGTGAAATACCTCAGACAGTGGATGGATACTGCTGATGAAGATAAAAAAGACATGTTGGACTATTTGTCTAAGTGCAACAGGAGAATTTATAAGACTTGACAGTTTGGGATGTTTATTAGGATTTAGCTGTGTTCTAGGGAAGAGTAATGAAAGCCATAAGTGATTCCAGCGTGATGGAAATTGGCATCTGGAGGTAACAGGAGGAGGCCAAGTTGTCTCCACTAGTGCAACAAACAACCCTGAAAGGCAGGAAGCTGAACTGTGAGGTTGCATTGTCACTTTACCTATTGGGGAGCATATTTATTTGATGACTTTTGTCTGTTGGAGGTGATGAACAGAATCCAGAATGTTTTGCCTGAAGTGGTAAATTATTCCTTTACTATATCCATGTCCTAAAAAAAAAAAATCTCAATTTTTGTAAAATGCAGTAGTTATTACAGTATTTTTGTTTACTTACCTTTAAGAAAAAAGAGCTCTGAGAGATACATTTGCTCTGTGAACATACCACAGATGCAAGTAATAAATGAGGACTCTCATCACAGTTTATATAATTTCTCAATTCCCACTCTTTGTGCTAAGTACTATTTAAAAGCCATTATTAATGAGACAGAAAGTGTGAGGTCCTTTAAGACAGTTACCTGGCACTGTCTTCAGCTTGCTTCTCTGGGGAGCGCTACTTTGATTATTTGTCTTCTGTTTCAGTCGCTCTGGGGCTAATGTCGTACTTCCACTATCAGAGGAATTGTGCAGCAGTAAACCCACGCTGTGCCAGCCCCTTCCTTTGGTAAGTACAATTCAAAATTCTGGAGAACCTCCTTTCTCTCTTGCTGTCTGCTCTGAACTGAACATACGCCCTTTAGAACTGCAGGTTTTCAGAGTATAAGTCTGGCAGATCTCTTCTGCCTATTGCCTGACAATCAGGAGACGCACATGATTTTATAATTGGTTGGTAAGTCGCCTTTCCGCATCTTTACAGCTCAGTCCATAGCTGATCCTGAGGAAGATTAATTTATTCTCATTCTTAATTTGGCTGGCACCAGATGTCCTATAGAGATTTCGAGATGCATACTTGAATGTGCCACACACTTGACTGCTGGTTTCTGAGCCCACAGACATCTCTGCAGAGCTAGGCTATGAGGAAGATGGGACTATTGCACTGGGTCGGTCTAATCCATGTAGGCAAAGGGAGATTAAAGCCATAGGGACAGCATCTTGTCTTGCCCTGGTGAAGGTGGTGAACATGCTTACAGATCTCAGCCAGAAAGTCTCCAATAGCATGAACAAATACAACTTGAAAACAATGTGCCTTCACTCTGGCAAGCCCTGCAGACATAATAGCTTTTTAGGCTGCTGAGATCAAGCAGCCTGAAGTGTCTGGAATGCCAGTCACCACATTTCACACCAGCTGAAATATTTAGCAGTGCAATCTGCAAGGATCATAAATACAAATAATAAATTCTTGAAAGAGCAGATACAGAAAAATATTTCTTTTATGAAAATCATAAACAAATGCAGTTCCTTCCAAATCCCAACATATTCTGAAACTGTTCTCTGACCAGAAACATCTGTCTCTTGGATAAGACCAAGTCTCTTTTAATATAACACAGCCTCTGATTTTCTTCCTCCCTTAATCTGCTTTTAGCCTTGTCAGCTGTGCCAAGGGTCTGGGATGAAATTGCCAGTTCTTAGCCATATGCTACAGCCACAGTGGGATGTTGAGATGTGGATGATCACCTCCAGGAAGTACTTGCTGTATTCAAAAGGTGTGGGAGAACACAGGTTTTGGTGGAGGAAGAGTGCAACTGATGGTTGTCCTCAGAGTTTAAATATTTATGGAAGAGACCAGTGTTTAGTGCATTGCCCCTGGATTATCACTACAGCCAGACCAAAAACAGTAGATGAAAAAACTCTGCTTCAGGACCCAGAATACTTTCCTTTGGATAATTAAGTTCTGCAGACTTGAGAGTGGATGTCTGAGTCTCACAGTCTCCCTTGTTCCCCTATCCTCTTTCAGAACATGCTATGGAGGATAACCAGTCCTGTGAGTCTCAAGCAATATCTGAATCTTGCACAGTTTCCTAGTCACACTCTGCATAATTTTTGAGTATCTTTCCTGGAGATGAAAACTAACACTTTATCTTTACCATGTATATGGAGACAGAAATGCACTACATTTTCTGTGTGGGATATTGTCACTGAGGTGCAAGGGAGTTTGAAACATGCGTTTGGAACAAGATGCTTGCTCCTTTTCTGCTGGTATTTAAAAAGTGGCTTCTGATTTTGGGTGTTTGGCTCCAGCTAACTGCTAGTTTCCAAAGGAGTCAAATATTTACACCACCAGAGGACATGTGGGAATTCTGTCTTACCTCTTACACTGGTAGCTGCTCCTGGCTGTTCTGCTCCTGGACCCTGCACACTGTAATAAAACAGGCATGGATGATGGTCATGCATACTCATAAAGTGCTGTAACAATGCTGGATGCATGGTTGGACACAAGAGGAGATGTAGGAAGCAAATCCTTATCAGGACTCCAATTTGAGTGCAAATGAAGAGCAGTACTCACTTTCTCTGGAGCAGTAGCCTTCATTCTTGTTTTATTTGTGGGTCCCTAGCAGATTTCCAGTAGGAAAGCAGGCTCACCCTTATAGCAAATATTAACTGCGTGGTAATAGCTTTCCTTTTCTAATCCTAAAAGGATGCTCAAGTGCCAGGACTAAAATTGTTACTGTAGAACATCCCGTTGTGAATAGTGTCAGAATCTCAGTCATTCTTAAGGTCACTGAAGAGGAGAAAGGGAAACCCTCTCCGAAACAGGCTGAAGGCTGTTCTTTTCATCTGTCCAAAAAGTGTCCCCTTCTGTTATGAGGTGTCTTCCTTCTCATTGCTATTCCCACTTTGGCTGTTACCCTGCAGGGCTGACGTGCGGAAAACAGACTCCACAACCAGTGAGATTGTAAAGTAGGTATGTTCATTCAGCGCTGGGCGGCACGGGGGGTAGTCCCACCAAAGTCGTGCGTGCCCGACTCGGCAGTTCGCCTCAAGTTTATACAGTCAGGTATTACATATTCACAATACGCCTATACACATGAATGACCTATCCCCACTTCATATTAAAGTTAGCTCCGAGAGGTCATTTCCATAGTCCCCTCCCAACTGCGCCTGCGCAGGGCCTCTTTATGGTGGTCGTCTGGTGGTCGCAGAGATGAAGATAGATGACTCCTCTTCATCACCGCTAGTAACCTCTTTCCTTGCACAGGCTCAGTGAGTTCTTGGTATTCACCCAAGCCGCAAGACCAGTCTTAGCTGGCTCTTGGGGCCTGCTCCTGCTTCTTATCAAGGACTGCCTCTACCTCATTGGCTGGTTCTTGGGACCAGCTCTTCTTATCAAGGACTCTCTCTACCTCAGCTAATTTCAACAATGTAAGCACTAAACATCATCTTTCACCCCCCTTTATTATGTCTACTGAGATTCTTTTGACTCCCCTTGTCTCAGGGCGGGGCTGCAACAGAGGGAACTAAAGGCCTGGACTCCTCTGCTGCTTTTCTCAGAGAGGTGCTGGCCCTTTTGGCAGTGGTGAAATGAAGACCTTCTCTGGGACAGGGTTTGGGCAACAATCCTAAAGTGCCAGATAACCTGGCAGAGGCCACTACACTACCTTTCAGAGGCAATGGGAGAGACATGGCAGCACCTGGGGAAGGGTTGAAGGAACTCCTCAAAAGGTTAAATATTTCTGGTGGTGTTTGGGGTTAAAGCGTGAGGCACTGGAACTGCATATATTGCATAAAAAGTTTTAACTAAGTAGCTTCACAAGTTGGGTAGGAAGAAGTAGCTAACAGCCATCCCAAACAGTTGCCTCCACCATTTCTGTGTGACGGGGTAGAGGTGATGGATGGCCTTTGTAGGACAGACTCACAGAACCTGTAGTCCTCCCTGGGTGCTTTGTAAGCAGTGTGAGTGATGCACTTCTTTTCTATTAAACCTAAAAGTTACACGTTCTATTTATACACAAAATCTTTTGCAAAGCTAAGGACTGAGATTTAAAAGCCAAGAAGTTTACTTTTAATCCATCGGTTGAAGTCTTCAGGAAGAAAATTGTGAATCTGCAGGGAATAGTCTAGTTGTTATGGTCACAGCTTTGACACACACTTTGGGTGTCTATGAATAATGTCACAGAATATGCCCAGGCCGCTCCTGCTCCCCCTCCCCGCCCCTGCGGCCGCTGATTTTTGGAGCCTTGCGAACAGAACCGCAGCTAGGACAACAGTGTCACCTGCTGGTGAGAGAAACATGACTGTCGCTGCGTGCTGTTCTCATTTCCACTGCACATCGCCCACTGCTTTTACGTGTTCTGTGAGAATACCGCTTCTCACCTTTACATTAAAGGTGACAATGCGGTGAAGCGGTGCCAGTAACAGATTCAGAGATGACAGTATTTCTTTCAATTTCTGTGTTATTTAAACACTAAAGATTTTCCGAGGTTTGCTTGACAAATTATAGAGTGGCTTTGGTGATACAGCTTTTGTTTATGTTAGTTATATTATTTTAATACAGTTTTAAAATCGAGGCTGATATTAAGCCACATTTTGTTCTGCATTTGCTGTTGGTTAAGAATACATAAAAACACAGTATGAATATCACCTGCTCACCTTAAAACCTTCACTTAAAAGTCTGGGAATCTCACACTTCTGTATATGTCTAACACACATGTATGTATGTATTTCACAAGGGTAGTCAAGTAAGTGATCATGCAGAGGAAAACTGCAAGAAAAGCAATTCTGCCCAGGAAACACCTGCAGAAGGAAATGTCTCTCCTGCTAAGGACTGCTCAGTGTCACAAAAACAATTGGTATGATTTCTCCAGTACCATTGTATTATCAAGATCCTTACCATTGCCTTTAATGTCTTCTATAATTACAAAAATAAAAAGCTGGAATCAATAGGGAAATATCAGTAATAACAACAGTGAAATGAGTCAAGTTTGCAGTGCAGTGATTTAGAGGGCTAAGAGCACTTCTGAGATCAAATGAAATAGTAAGTAGGGAAATAGGAGAGTGCTCTTAGAGGGAGGACTATCTCCCTAGCTTATTATTTGTTTCCGACATGAAATTGCATAATTCATGATCATGGACAATGGTGATGCTGAGGCATATTTTCTGCACTGAAAATCTACCCCAGACTCAAAAGCAGAAATGTCTGAATAGTGTAGGTGCGTGAGATAACCCTATAGGTTTTCAGGAGGATGCAACTGAAGATGCACAGCATCGACAACTTTGTAAATAAGTGCACTCAAGTGCACAGTTATTTCCAAATCACTGTATCAGCAGATTGGACTGAACTGCCATTGCTTTCCCCATGAGAAGCAACGAAGGCACTCACTTGTTTGTAAAAAATGACTGTGGACTCTGAAAGGAATGACATACACCAGGAAAGCTGAGGGGTGGCAAGTCACCTCCATTTACCAAAGAGGAGAAAAGATAAATTTGTATGTAAGTTTGTGCCTTTGCATAATGAATGACAAGTGTATGTGCAATGTCCACAGTTACTGTCCAAAGAGAAATTGTTTGACAAAATGCCTGTGATGCTTTGCATTGACTTTAGGCATGACTTTCAACCTACATGGGCTATGTGGAATGGCCATACAGAGAGCTGATGTTTTAACCTCCCAAACTATTTAGCAGTTTTAGCTAACTGCAAACACAAATTCCATAAAGTAGGCAAGAAAATGCTCCCTCCTATTTCTCAAAAATTTTTCTCCGTTTAGCTTCTTTATTTTTGCCTATGCTTTTTTCATACTCCTCACTTGTGCAAATGCTTCTTTCCTGCACTAGTTGCCCCTCCAGACATTTCTCTTGCCCCCAGATTGTTTGGACAAAGATGGTTTCTAGGCATCTGAGGGAGCAGTGAAGGTAAGGGTGAATCCAGCTGAGATGCTTATAATCATAGTACTTGTTTTTACATTATAGGTAAAGTAGAGGAAAAAAAAATACATGGTTCTCCCTCCCACAAGACAACTTTCATACTCTACGCCACTGTACCAATCATGTATTCAGGGTCATGGTTCCCTTTCCTGTCATGATGCACAGTCGGTCAAAGGAATACTCAATTAACAGTTAGACAAGCAAACATTTTAAACAGTGTGATCTTAATTTAGGTTGCTTTGTTTTCCTACCTGTGTTAAGTTATCAAGAATATTAATTTTAATGTCATTTGAAAGCAAGTGAGGACTTTTGGCAGCTAGTAAATATTTGTTCTAATTGTACTAATTATAAACTTTGTGTTGTTTCTTTATAGCAGCAACTTGAGAGACAATTAAAATGCTTAGCTTTTCAAAATCCAGGACCTCAGGTAGCTGACTTCAATCCTGAAACTAGAGAGCAGAAAAAGAAAGCTTGCATGTCACAAATGAAACAAGGTCTTTTTAATAAGCGCAAGTAAGATGTGCTAATTTATTACTTATTTTATTTTAAAAAATTTGTAGTATGCTGTTTACTGAATATAAATTAAATGAATAAAAGCATAATATTTTGCAGACATTTCTTATTACACGTGAAAGCTGTGTTGGGAAAGCAAGTTTTTTTCTGTGTGACAAGAGAATTTTGATTTACTTCTTTGGCACACTTTCATTTTTAATAACAGTGGCTGTTGCAATTAGGATATAATGCTGGTATTTCATTACGCTGTGAGGTTGTTAAAGAGGAAATATTTGCTCCTGGACAGATGTTTTCTGCATTTATTTGGTTTAGTCTTTGAACATGTTGGAGCATTCTCTGAGAATCACTTTTTCTTCTCTTTCACAGAACTACAAAGAAGTATGACAAACATGGCAGGCTGCTTTGTAATAACATTGATTTGTGTGATTGCCTGGAAAAGAACTGCCTGGGTTGCTTCTATCCCTGCCCCAAATGCAATTCAAGCAAATGTGGACCAGAATGTCGCTGCAACAGAAAATGGGTTTATGATACAATTGAAACTGAAGGTGGGAATGTGATCAGTGTGTTGCCATTTTCTGTCCCTGACTGATTTTGTTCTGGTAGTTTTTGCACCTGAGCAAAGTTCTTCTTCACATTTTATTAAAGTAAATCTTGGCTTTATGAATTGTCTCTAGTGAAGTGCCTGGCAGTGGGGCTTGTGCTTCTTTATTGCTGCCTACCTAGCAGAATTTAACCTTCCCCATTAAGTAAAAGTATGCATTTCATTCTTCCTCATCCTTGTGAGCTTTACTGAGGCATCTAGTCAGTCCTCTCTGAATCTTGACTTTCTAAAGCTGAAGGTGATGGGAGTGCTGTGGGAAGACAATTTTCTTACCCTTGGAAGTTGAACCACATTACTTGTAATGAGTTTTTTTTTCTTGTCAATTTCTTTGCTTGTTAATTTACTCAGATGTGTGACACAGTGTCGTGGTTTCAGCCCAGCCGGTAACAAAGGACCACGCGGCCGCTCGCTCACTCCTCCCGCCCCCCTCCGGTGGGATGGGGGGAAGACGGAGGAGAGGAAAAAAAACAAACCTGGAACCTCGAGGGTTGAGATAAAGGCAGTTTACTGGAACAACACAAAGAAATTGCAACAACAACAACGGTACTAATGAAAAAGTATACAAAAAAGAGTGATGCACAGTGCAACTGCTCACCACCCGGGACCCGACGCTCTGCCACTTCCCCCACCGAAAAGAAGAGCCCACCCCCCGGCCCGCTCCCCCTTTATATACTGAGCATGATGTCACATGGTATGGAATAGCTCCTTGGCCAGTTCAGGTCAGCTGCCCCGGCTATGCCCCCCACCTCCCAGGTTCCTGTAAAAATTAACTCTATCCCAGCTGAACCCAGGACACACAGCTTGCTCTTTTGTGAATGTTTGTCCAAGTGTCTTTTCCTTCTGATGCATTCACGTCTTGTATAAATGAGGCAGGGGTCATTTGAGATAACAGTTCTTTGAAACTAGGTCACGACTTTCCACGTCCCTCCGTATATAGAGGAGAGTAGAAATGACTGCAATTCTTTCTTGCTGCCCAGGCTACAAGACTGAAACCAACATGTTCAGTCAGCATTTTTTTTACAGCATATGGCACACTCAACCTTGATTGGTCATTAATTATATAACTAGAGATAAATGGATTGGATATTTTTTCCTCTGAACAGTCTCTTCAGTTCCAGGAGTTTCATCTTCATGCAAGACATGACAGATTTCAAATACCATAACTTACGCCCAGTCTTCTTACTAGGTTGGTGTTCTCATCCATGATGGGCAGTCACACCCTTTTTGAGGAGTGAGGGTCCCTCTGGATCTTGAAGGGGGGAAGGCTGCAGATTGCCACAGGCAATCTCCAGGAGTGTGCTGCTAGTGGGGAATCATTCACTGGGACCAGTGCTTGCTGTTTTTGAGGAGACTCTCCCAACTTCAAACGTGGCACCACTTTTCTCACCTACAGGAGGTCATTCTCTGTGGACAAAGACCTCCTGCTCCAAGGCAGAGATATCTCCCAGTAGAATAAACTTCCTGGAACAGATCCCAAGAATTCCTTAACACCACAGTCTCCTTCTGACTTGATACCCTGGAAAGATTTGTTGTTCCTCTCAACTAATGACACCTCAATACTTATGCCTGTAGCATAAAAACACCCAGTACCAAAAAACTTCATAAGAATATTTGCTGTGGTGGTTAAAACGCGCTCTCTGTTTGGCAGTTGGATCTGGTGCTGTTCTGTCATATACCTCACTGGTCCCAAAGTATCCTTTGACTTGTGCCAAGAGTCCAAATAGCCCACATCATCTCTGAGCTATATTTCTTAAGGTAGGTGGAAATCCTGCCACTGTAGTGAGGGATTGGTTTCTTGTTCCAGGTGTGCCACAGGCTCATTCTGAACTTGATCGAATAAGCAGCTCTTCAAGAAGTTAGAGTTGATTTACACGGACAGGAAGATGACAGCCTTCCTTTGTAATGACCTCGAGATCTGAAATGCACAGGTTCGAATTAGCTTCACTTTCTTTCCACTTAAAGGCAAAAACCCAAATAGTTTCTCAGGTGGATTCCTGTGGTAAGGCTACATGTTAAATTTTTTGAGTAATGTGATTAAACCCAGACTAGCGTAAATCTTTAGAATCCCATTATTGAATTAATTGGTGTTACTTTGTGTTTTTTAACATGGACTGTGCCTCTGCAACAATCATAGCTAAATGCAAAGCATAAGAGAATTCTGTCACAAAGACAGTGCAACCTTGAAAATATAGCGCAAAACCTGAAAAAAACAGAAGTGAGAGCCAAGATAAGGATATTAAAATAAGAGGATGTTGCAGAGTCAGTTCTGCTTGGTTTGAGAATGACTTTTTTACCACTGCAATGATCCAGCTAACTTTTCCCCCAGTTCCAAATGAGCAGCTGACACTGGACAAGTATAATCCCTATTAGGACAGCTGTATGGGGGGTGGGGGTGGTGGGCAGAAAGAGAAAGAAAAATTCTAGTGTCATCCATATGTTTATACTGATTGTGAAACTTAGTGGCGGATACATGTATATAAAAACAACAACAGAGTGCCCATATCTGATAGTTTTTGTTAGGCAATTACATAATGCCACACTGCATGACATTGTGGTTTTAAATAAAATGCTTTACTAGAAAAGGCAGAGAACATTTCTTAGTCTTTTATGAAATTGGCCACTCTCCAGATGACACTAGATCATCTTTCTACCTTATCAGATGTCAGTCTAAACAGAAGATGTTTCTCCCTATGGAATAAGTTTGTATTACAAGGCTAAGGTTTAAAATAAGGGCAGCAGATCAACGAACTGTTCCATAAGGTGTGTCGGTCCTTCTTCTTCTCTCTCTCCCCTCTCTGGCCTCCCACCCCAGATTATGCAGGTTAAACAGTCGTGACACTGTGAATTTACTTTGCCTGTCTTTTCCTTGTCCACGTGGCTGCTTTGCTCATGGCTACCAGTGATCCCACTGTGTCTTAAGATGAAAGCACAGGGACCTACTAAACTATAGCCTAGCTAAGATGCCACCTCTCAGTTTCTTATCTAAAAATTGATTCAGTTTGTTTAATTTGAATTCATCATGCCTTCCACTGTATTTCCCTTGCTTACAATCCATATCTATCTGGCAGGAGATATTAATCCTCTGCTTTCTTAGATATTATTAGTACAAAGAAGTCAATCTCATGGAAATGAATAATGTGCTCCTGTGTGATTTTTCTATAGATAAATATGGTTCTTTCTCTACTAAGCTCATACGTGCTTGGGCATTTTCTTACTGGGATCCTCTCAATTCCAAAGACTCCACTGTGCATGTCCTGCCATTTACAAACTTGAAAACTCAGAAAACAAAATAAGAGTTATGCACAGCATCTTGTTTTTTGCCTTCGTTGCACTCCAGTAGACTTTAAGGCAGAAAGTTAGCCACTGAACACACTCGTTATTTAACAATTTGCCTATACTTCTCGATATCAGAAGTTGTCACATCTTTGAGTAAAAACCCACAACAGCTGTCCTTGTGTATTGCATTGGATACTTACAGCTGCTCCTAAGACAACAGCCAATTTAAAGGAAATATTAATAAAATTATTATCATGTGGCTCAGAAGAGGCCACAATGAAAGTGAAGGCCGTTAAATATTATGACTTTCAAGATGTGAAGGTGTGCTAAAGCCAAAGAACACCCAAGGCTTTATCAGATGAGTTGAGATGGGAGTTTTGAATAAGAAGGTAGACCAAAGCTGTATTGGGGCATGAGGCTGACTAGCTAGTCAGCTGGAAGAAGGTCACCACTCCTGTGCCTGCCTCTGTTTCCATGCTAATAAATGGACAAAATTATGCTGACTTTGCTCTTGCTTAGTGTTTGCAAATCCTTCATGCAAAGTTACACAACGAAAACTTAGAATTATTTATATAAATCCTTTGATGCAAAGGCTCCATGATACTGATTTCCAGTTACATATATAACGTAGCACGTCTGAAACACAGACTACGAATACAATAGATTATAGCACTGTAAAACAACAGCCAGAAAATGGAGGAGTTTTTTTCCCCAAAGCAAGCTCCCAAATTTTGTATGAAAAGTATTACTGGATTCCTGTGTACATGGAGACTTAATGTTAGGTAACTGCAGTAAACTGCATGGTATTCAGTTTACCTACAGGGCTTTAAATTTGATGAAGGACAGTCAGCCCTGGGAGAAGTTAGGTTTGTGGTTCCAGAAAGTCTAGATATTTCAGTCACAACCTGAGATCACTAAACCGTTCCTCCTGGCTTAAAAGAAACTTCTGCATATGGCAAGGTGCCATTCAATCCCACCACATCACTGAGAGGAAAATACGTCCATACTGTTATTGAACTTACACTAGTATGTGCCAGCATTTGTCAAGGTAAGAACTCTACAGTTAATATTTGCCAGCCTCTGTGATTCATACAAACACAGGAAGGCATTAAAAAAAAGTAATTTACTTTGAACTCTTTTCCAGACAATTTTCATGATCCTTTTAACACCTTCTGTAAAAGCACAATTGAACTTTCATTATATACATCCACACCAGAGTAGAATACAGATTTCATTCACTTCAGTGGGAAAACCAGAAGAGCTTGACTAAAGAAATATAGACTAATACTTTCTGGATAAATATGCCTCAGATAAACATCTGCACCAAAAGCATTACAGTTGTTGCAGCTCTGTTGTGTTTCTTAGCTACTGATAGCAATATTGATTGTAGCTTCTCCTTTGACACATTTTTCGTGATCTCAAAACATTTTAAAACCAATGACGCATGTTTCAGTGGACTGTTTTGTTTGATCACATTCTATTTGGAAAACAGACATATCAAGTCTCAGCTAACTGCAACTTTGAACGTTAGTTAGAGCATGATACCTGCACTTCATTAACCCTAATTTGTAATCTTGGCATGAATCATAGAAAGATTTGCTGTCATATCATTTGCAGAGGGCAGCACATCTTTTCTCCATTGACCTGGCCCTGCAAAGTACTGACCTGCTTCCACCTCTACACAGGTGCAAATGTATGAATGCTGGTCTCTTACGGGATCATACCCATTTGTGTTATAATGGAATAAATTAAGGCCTATTGTCCACAGCTGAATCTCCTGTATGTTCACAGGTGCCTTTGATTAAAGGAGTAGGCTGTGCAGCCCTGATTTCCATTGTCAAGCAGCATGTCACCCACTGTGTCTGACTCCCTTCACATGACTAGATGTAATAGTGAAATTTCACATATAAGCACAAAAATAGCAAACGATAAGCCAGCATACAGAACTAATAAATTAAGACCGCCCCTCCTTTATTCATAGTCCCCTGCCCTTACTCTTTCTGAGTAGAGTTCAAGTAGTCCTGGTGATTTTAATGAGATTACTCATCCAGTGGAATGCAAATAATGACACAGAAAGAATAGCAGATTGCTTCATAATGATAACAGTCACAGAGAGCAAGAAAAGAGTATTTATTTCTGATAGATGTAATTTAACTGAAACACTTAGAACACACTTTAGAAAAAAGAACTATTTTTTCAACAACAGTTCAAAAGTTGAGCTATTTAATACTAGTTAAAAGCTACAATTAAATCCCTGCCCCACAAATTTATAGTTTGCTAACTTCAATTGCTTAAGCCACTTGCAAGTTTAAGTGAAAATTTATGTGAAACATTATTGGTTTATTTTCAGTGAGTTGCAGGACAATTATTTAGTCAACAAATAGTGTCAGGGATATTGTACAAATCAGATCTTGAAGGAGTTCAGCATGTTCTTTTGTGTGTACCTTCACAAGTTAGGAAAAATAACAGAGATGAAGATGACAGGAAAAGGAAAGGCTTGAGTGTAGACAGAATGGCATCGCAAGTAAAAGGCTATGGAATAAAAAGAGGATCAAAAGGAGCCAAGAAAAAAGAGAAAAATAATACATTCAAAGAAAACAGGTCCTGGTAGGATCTTGAGAACCTGTAGTCCTCAATGCTGGATCAGCTTTACTCAGTTTCTACACATTTACTATCCATTTTTCATGACAGGTGTTTGTCCCTTTGTGCTTTAAAACCTGTAATGAAGGAGATTCTTCAACTTTCTCATGCAATTTATTACACTTCTTAACTAGCCTTGTGTGGAAAGTATTCTGTAATTCCTAACTTTACATCCTTTTCATGCTCTGTATAATGAGTTTCATCTGATAACCACAGAAGTATTGTAAAAAGCAGAGCCTAAATGAATTTTAACTGATGGGTTGGGTGGTGAGAAAAGCCTGTAAAAGAAACCGTAATCAAATAACATGAAAGCTTTTTTGGTCTTTGTGAAAGAACAGAATATATAGTTCAATTTCTGGAAACGCAAAGTAGGGAAGACAGAGCTTTTCAAGACTGTTGTAAGGCAGTAAGATTCCCAACTTTCATTAGCAGCTAAACACTCTCTCAGTCACTGATGCCTAAGATTTTGTCATAGGATGTGAGCCCCCACAACATCCATTTGCATGTCTAAATGGAGTATTTTGAGTCAAAATATGGCTAACATTTTGACTCAAAATATATCTTAACTAGATGGATAGTTGAGACAACTGATAAAATACATTAAATTGTGTAATATCATTAGCTCAGTGAAAAAAGCTATTATTCACATTGGAAAAAAGGATCATGGATGCAAGTACAAAACAGTATTAAAGAAATGGATGTATGAGAAGTCACAACTTTTTATAATTCTTTTTTAGGAACAGAAAATGTATTTGGAAAAAATGATTTAATTGTGCCATTGACAGCACCTTGTCAGGGTAGCTTCATTACTTATTATTTCCAATCAGCTGCTCTCTTTCCTGTCTTTCTTCAGTGAGGCTTTGAACAGAGAATCATACAGGGTAGAAGAAGCCTCCAGAGCTCTCAGGTCAAACCTCCTGTGTGAAGCAGGTCCAGCTGGAGGAGGTTGCTCAGGATCCTCTCCAGTTGAGATTTTAATGTTCATTGTTTTGACTCTTAATTTTTAATATTCATTTGATGCAGCAAAGTGTGAAAGAAAACACTTAAAAATAGCTCCATATGATTATAAAACCAGAGAATTGGCAGCAAACCTGAGTGGCGCATCCAATACCTATATCAGCTGGAACTTTTTAAAATAAGTAAGCAATTGTCTAGACTTCCAGTTGCCCTCGCTCGTTTTGACTGAACAAACTTTATAAAATTCTGCTCTCGGGGGAGATTTCCTAGAACAAGAAGCTACATTATTTCAGCGTGGAGTGAAACACTCATGTTTCTTTTCCAGCCAAATAAATTTCTTGTGAGAATATTGTCTTTTCATGTTTTGTAAGAGTACAGAAAAACAGATGAAATAGTTGAACGTAATTATATTTCACCCCAGAACAATAGGATGAAAAATGTAGCTGCCCTTTGTAACAGTGACTGTGGGTCCAGCTTCTGGTAGGAGGTACGGTACAAATGTTGTTGAAGTGTCAGACAGGAATTCTCTGCTTTAAAATTCCCGTTGGAGTACAGCCAGGTTTGTCACTCTTTTTTCCTGAAGTTGGTTCTTAAGGCTGAGTCTATTTAAACAGACATTATCTTTCCAAACTTTGTGGCTGAAATCCCTGCCCTATTGAAATTAATAACGAAATTCCCCTCTCTTCAACAGACTCAGGATTTCGGCATCTATGTTTCTAAAACGTTTCTTTACAGTACCTCACAAACGTCAAGCCTCTTCCCTCCTGCCTCTTGACCCTACCATCATTTATTACCACACACCTAACCCTTCGGACCACAGTTTACAAGCCTTTACAACCACATTCAGAAGCCCTTTGCACATTCCTAATATTTTTAGCTTGCTTCCTAGGAAAACAAGGCTGACACAGTCACGCTCCCCGTTCCTCTGTTTGCCGGTCCCATGGTCTTTCAGCCCATCCTTCCACTTCGGCCCAATCCGACGGGAACCGGAGGTCTCACAGACGTTGCGTCCGTTCAAGGTAACACCCGCGCGGGGAGGGTTTGGGGCTGCCACCCGGGGAACAGGTTACTCGGGGAGGAGGGACACGCAGCCAGCCGCCGCGGGGGCCGCCGCCTCCGAACACGCTGCCCGGAGACCGCGGCCGTAACCGCCGCGTCACAGGTTCGCGGCCCGCCAACAGCAGCTTCGCGGACCCGCGGCTCGGAGCGGGCTGGGCGCTCCCGCACGGGAACACGGAGGCTCTGTGGGGCCGGGAGGGGCCGAGGGGCTTCGCACCACCCACGCTTCTGCGGTCCGGTTCGAATACGGGCACGGGCGACACGCGACAGAGGGGGAAATGCCGCTCCCCGGGACTTTCTGCTGGGCGCCAGTACGTCCTCAAGACTTTCAAACCCGAGGATTTCAGCGACGGCCTTCCCAGCGGTTGCGGGGTGCTGCCGACCCGTGAGGGAGGCGCCGCCAGTTTGCTTCTCACCGCTGCCCCCAAGCCCCGGAGGCCGCCGCGGGTTCGCCCTGCCTTCAGCCGGGACCGTGCGTGGGGGCTCGGGGCCCTCAGCGACAGCGGCCCCGGCCGCCGGCCTGCCCGCGCCGGGGCGAAGCG